TTGCCACCGGGAACCAGGTACAACATGTAGCTAGCTTCGCCACAGGTCAGGCAGTTCTATCACGAGCTTGCTACCCGAGCGAACTTGCACTGTTTTGTGCTGCCTTCTGGCCTGACCCAGTACCCTATTGCTGTATCCTAGCTACTATCTCTACTAGCTAGCTAGAGTAGGAAGCTTGGAAGCAATGCAACATGTACCGGTAGATGTACCGTACCGGTCGCAGGCTAGGTAGTAGAGGTGCGTATCTTTTTCACTCCGTCATTGTCCAAAGTCTTTGTTCTTTTGATCGGGTTCAGCCTTTAAACCAGCCAGGCTGCCTGATGCTCTAGCTAGGCTTGTCGTGTCATGAATCTTTTGGCTCGGAATGGATCCTGTGAGATCCTAGCTGGGAAGCTTGATGGTTTTGTGTCACGGACAGCATCCAGCACGATTGATCATTCGATTCATCAATCACTTGTTTTGGCTTACTACAGACGTCACAATAAAAATAAATAAAATCGCAAATGCCTTCCTTTCTGCGTCGCAACATCATGCCTCTCCCGAATGCTTCGTTTCCCCGTCAAGCTGCACTTGCTAGTAATAAGGAGAAGAGCAGTGTGGCTTGCAGTCTAACAGTCCACTCTAGTCAAAGCGACTGGAAAGAAGAGTCGCTGGAAGTCTTGCAATCCTTGGATACAGGCGACATCCTGCTCTATCGCACTAAGGATTTGGGGGCCACCTTTAATGCGGTCGTGCAGGGATCCTACTACAGCCACAGTTCGGTAGTGGTAAGAGGAAAAATGACAGATTTAGAGCCTTTTTTCCCAGAAGATTATAAAATTGACAAATTGACAAAAACAATGACAATGACGCGATTTGCATATTCGAGGTCGTGCCGCAACGGGGGGTTTGTCTATTTCCACTGGAAGCTCGGCTGGCCCGTACGATTGACAACCTGGAATACTTGAGTGTACGACGCCACAGTGGCTTGATCACTCCCAGTGCGTACTCTAACCTGCTCTTGTTCATACGGGAAGTCCTAGGCCGCAAATTGGAACTGTTGACGTTGGACATGGCGCGCTCTCTCTTTCTCCACCGATTGGGCAAAAAGTACAAACAGTACGCTGCCACGCAGTACCTAAAAAATGCCAAGGAAGATTGGACACAATTCTATTGCAGTGAATTGGTAGCCGAGAGTCTGCAGCAGTTGCACATTCTACGAGAAGAGGGATTCCATTCCAATGACCTAGTCCCGGCGTCCTTTGCCATGCCTCCACCCGATATCGCACAGCTGCACCCACATTCCAGACGATCCTTCAATTTTGGAGAAGACGAACAAATCACTCGACCGGGACATTCCTACAGTGAGGAACAACCACTCATCGTACCTGAAGGAAACGAATTGCAGCAAGCACTCAAGCTCAAAAAGATGCAAATGAAGGAACAGTACAAGCAAAAACTAAAGCAGCAGCATTAGAAACTATTCATTACTTTTTTTAAAGTGAATGCACGCAACACGCAACCACTCCACAGGTTGGTGCTTGCGTCACCGCACAGTAGCTCTAAAACCATTGACTATTAATAGTTCATACCAGCCAGGTCTTGGTCAGGTCTCGGTTTCGTGGCGACACTGCCGTGCAGTAGCTCAGCTCTCTGGCTAGCTATTATGCAGAGGTGTGTGTGCGTGTGTGTGGGTGAGTGTTGTGTGTGTGTTACATGCACTGTGTGAAGTCTCCGACCTCGGAAGCTTTGGTATCCGAGTCCGGTACTAGCTAGTAGCGCTTACGTTGTGGAACTGTGTGCAAAGTTTGCGATTGCATTACATGCATCGCGCCCTCCACTGACCAACCACAAACCGCAACTAGAATAGTAATAGCAGGATGAACATGTGCACCCACTCTCTTCACTCCTTGCAAACAGGGGATATCCTGTTGTATTGCACCAAAGGTGTGGGTGGCACTTTCAATGCTGTAATGCAAGGATCCTTCTCCAGCAGCGACACTCATACAGCTTTGGTTGTCCGTGGCAAAGCTGCTGATCTGCAGCCTTTATTCCCCAATGACTACCAGCACCAGCACCAGCACCAAGCTCGCACTAATACATGTAGTACAAGTATGTATTCAGAACATGTGATTTGCTTGTTGGAAGTTGTACGAGGCAGAGGAGTTTGCTTCTTTCCCCTCCAAACCAGACTTGAACAAACCATGGACACAACTCAAGACTTGCATGTCCGTCGCCACAAGTATGTCAATCCCCACAAAAACAATGCTGCCATCTCGGATGACCATGAGGGGTATGCAAATCTTCTTGCTTTTATTAAACATGCTGTAGGTAGCAATTGCAAACTGGAAATGTTCACCATCAATTTGGGAATACACATTCTACGTCATCACCTCAAGAAAGAATTCTCCACTGACAAAAGCTGTAACCTTGAGAATCAGCAATTCTATTGCAGTGCTTTAGTGGCACAAGGATTGCACTTGGGTATTATGAAGCAAGAAATCAACCCTGATGAGCTCATGCCTAACTCCTATGCATTGCCAAGCCATCATGCCAGATCATTTAGCAGAGTCTTGCAACCTGGCCAATCCTATTCAGAGCCACAAGTGCTTGTTCAGAAAGGAAACCATCTTGCAAGTGTTGTGGAGCTGTCATGTTTCGCCACCGTGTCCCTTGCTGCATCCTCTTTGGCTTTTCAGTTGTTGCTGTCAGCATCCTGAGCTTCTTTGCTCCTCACCAACCAGACGTATTCGAAGGACAGCTTTGCATGAGCATTGTTCAGTGTGCGTTTCGTTGGCGATCTCGCACGCTGTGGTCGTCCGAAACTTTAGTTAACTGGAGCCACTGCAAGCACTACGGACTAACGTATCCAAGTTCAAGTCAACTGCTTGGAGCGGGTACTGGTAGGATTGTGCCCAGATCGTTACTGGTGTGGGGCAAGCAAAGGAAGCATTACTGTATTTCCCCGTCGTGACTGACAACCCATAAGGCAGCAAAAGCGTAACCTAAACCTGTCGTTTTCTCCATACCTACCGTAGCACCGGGAGGGCTTCGACGTTTGTCTGCTACTGCTACGTAGCGATCGGTACTTCAAGGAGTTCCGAAGATTCGATTGATCATTCTCGAGGTGCGGCTCCAGAGCTGCGTTCACACTTTTCTAAGCAAGGACGAACCTCGACGACGCGTTGCCCCTTGCCGAGACGGTGAGCTGCATACCGGTCGCAACGACAACCAGAAGCAACTCTACTAGTATTCATATAGTCAAGCCGACGCGTTGGTTCCCTCCATGGCGCATACACGGCGCGTACGTGCGACCGTAAACCCACCACCTCCTCCCCACCTCCTCCAGCGATACCTGCTTGTCGTCGCCAAGGCCAGCGGGCTGCCCTCGAGTGCATGATATATGGCAGCTACGTCTTCGCCTTGATTCAATTACATTCGGAGCACGATCATCGGATTACAACAGGACGGCCCTACAGTGACCCTCCCATGAATCAGCCCCGGACATGTAGCGCACCACAATCCCAAGCTAGCCCAGGTCATGCAATGGCCACCCGTCAAATTGTCACTTGACGTGCTGGCCAGCATCTATCAAGAGGCTCCGCAATAATTGAATCTACTTGCGTGCAAGGCTTGCGCTCAGCCATCAATGAGATTATCTAGCAATTCTTACGATTACACGTTAGATCGAGGCCTTCTTTTTTCTTTGGTTTGTTGATAGCGGCCCCACTACTCGAGTTGAGCGCAGCAGCTCGAAAGAACTTTCTTCCAGACAACAACACGTCGTTCATCTTTGCACCGTGATTTCGTGAAGGGCCTTGCTTCAACAACAGCAATCCTTAACACCTGTTCTTCGCACGAAGGTTCATGTCTGGACAGCAGCCACGTTCGCAAATTGACGAGATGAAAATCAACACGATCATGTGGCACTAGTACGGTAGTAGTAGTCAGTGTTTACCAGTAGAACCACCAGAGCTGTCGAGGCATTCCTGTGAGCGATTCTGGCTCTTGCTGGCTAGAGAATGACGCAATTCCCCGTGAAGCAGTCGTCGGGACACATCAAATGGTTGCTTGTTGTAGCTTCGGCTAAATCTTCGACTTCTCCCGCCTTGTAGGGGTCCACTGCAGGATGTTCTTGCTGCTGCTGAGAAGTCGTGATTTCGTCGTCGACGACGATATTGCTGTTGTTGTTGTAATCATCTGTGAGTGCCGACATGACGGTGACATCTTTGGTTTGCTCACTTTCACCGATTTCCGCATCTTCGTGCTCCTTGGTGGTCGCAGCGTTGCCTTCTCCTTGAGGTTCCGTAACGGGTTCTGTTCCAGGCCACAGTTATTACCAGTACCGTAGTGAGCCAAAAGAAGCAAACGCACGGATGCAGGCAGCAATAATGCGAGATGAACCACAAAGTAGAGGATGCGTCAAAGTAGATTGTTTGGTTCGTTCGTCGTTGTGGTCATGGTCATGGTCATGGTCGAGTTCGTGTTGTAAGATGCGATTGTTCAGTCGATTCATCATTCGCAACGGTAGTGGGTTGTTGTCAATGAATGGCATTGGTATCAGACAAAAACAAGATTAGTTAGGCAGGCAAGAAAGAAGACAGCGTGAGATGCGGCTGCGTGGTAGCAAAAGAACACGGTCATGCAAGCCCGAGGATGTCATTCACTGGAACGAACGAAGCGGCGCACAGATCGTACGGTCGGTGGGCGAACACGCACAAAACAAGGACAACAAATACTTCCAAGAAAAGAAAGCACGCAACGTACCTTTCATTGCTGGCGTCTCATCGAGCACGGAACAATCGACGGTATCATCGGTGGATGGTGCAGTGACAATTTCCGGTGCGGTGTAGGTTGTGGTCGTGGTCGTTGTCGGTTCCACTGCAGCTGCCGTCGCGGATGCCGCCACGACCATGGCCGACGCCATGTTGGGTGGAGTTTCTTTTTTGAGTTTGGACGTTTTCTTCTTTTTGTGTGGTCCAAACATGGATACTTTCCACAGCTTTGATGTTGTTTTGGAAGACGATTTGTCTTTCTTTTTGCTCTTTGTTGTTGCTGCAGGGTCGTCGTGTGCCGGATCGTACTTGTTGTATTCCTTGAAATATCCGTATCCCCAGAACTTGTAAAATTCGACATCGGAGGATTCGGCGGGTCTACATCGAATAGTCAATGCTCCTGCGACTCCCGGTAAGAGTGTATTTGGATGAATGAGTTCAATGACTTGATCTTGTCCCGTGGCTTGCAAGAGTGCATTGGGAGTGACATGTAGATATCCCAGTTCTGTCTTGTCACCGGCATGTTTGACCTTGAAGAGTAATCCTTCAGCCTGGTACAAGTACGCCACGGGCATACCGTCAATGACAAAACTAGACTTGGATTCCAACGTGTAATGTGGGTTGTTGCTTTGTGTGGCCCAAATCAAAAGAAAGAAAAGAAAAAGAAAGAAATGTAGCGTATTGAAGCAAAAGGTGAGTGAGTTAGGAGATGAAACCAACTTGAACACAGAAACCAGACCAACAATCACACCAATGACAAGTAAGTGACAATCATGCAACCATGCAAATGAAATGCTTGATCATGCAAGCAATGCAGAATGGATCCGCCCAGCCACCACCACTAAGCTACTGCAACTACCAGCTACCAGCTAGCTACTGTAGTGGCTATGGTAACATGCAAGTTGCCTGCTACCGGTACCGTAGCTATGTAGCTAGACTCAGACTTGGTGGACCTCTCATGGTCAGGACAACAATAATCAACTCCCACACAGACCACCCCATTCATGACTGGTTCTTCGACTCGTGACTCACGTTTGCGAAATGGGTTTGGTTTTGTGAATGTCAAGTGACTGCTTTTTGTTGTTGCTGCTGGTAGTGGTGGTAGTGTTAGTAGTGCTGGTAGTACCGGTACCGGTAGTGGCCAACTTGACTTTTACATAAGCATCAGCCAGAGGAACTTTGAGAAATTCTGAAGCTGCCAAATTGCTGCAAGACACAATTTCCACTACCAGAGATACCACATACTCCTCAGTACAACTTCCTGTAGAACTTCCAGTAGCCAACTTCATACCGGGCAGCACTGGCATGTTGGCCCATTCGGGTCTCTTGGTCATGCTGCTGGTAATATTATTATTAATATTACTACTAGTATTGCTTTTGCTTTTGCCAGTAATACCACTGCTGCTTCTTCTGTGGCTCTTGTCCTTCATCTTGTCTTCTTCTTGTTTTTTCTTTTCTTGTCTTTGTTGTGACTTGTTTTCTTCTTCGTCGTCTTCCAATTAAAATAATAATAATTTGCGCGGGAAAAGATACGAGGCACAAATAAATGAGGACGTCATAGTCATTGTGACCGGAAACTGCAAGGTGTCACCGCTATTTAACCCTTTTCTGCCTAAACAACTACCTTAGTGTTAGAAACTTAGTGCCGGACAGAATATCAAAGGGACTCACAACGAAGAAACAGCTTTCCAAAAGCACGTCGAGCTTCTATTCATCCTTGCTGCACCACAAACTATGATATCTTTACTTACCGTACCGCAAGGTATTAATAGCGCACAATGATTAATAGTACTGTAGTTTTAAAAATATTATCTAATAAAGGTATGATGGTATGATTGCGCCGAAGGCTGATTGCTTTTGTTTCACTCCTTCATCAACACCTGGCGCATTCTACTGGGAACAATAAATATACATGTATGGAACAGGAGCACAGGACAAGACAGAATGCCAGACGAGAAAAGGGGGGTATAGTGTTGTGTGGATGGAATGACAGAAGAGGGATGTCTCAAGGGGAATTGGGAAGAGAGCGAGCTCAGTCTGCCAGTTATTAGTTTTCATCCAGAGGTGTAGAGGGCAGAGGAAGAGCGGTCTTCTGTAAGATTCTGCAGCCAAGATTGTTTCAAATGGGTACCGGTAGGGCGGCTGAGTAGTCTACTAGCTAGTAGTTGGATCAAGCACAGTCGGAAGAAGCAATGCTGTGAGGGTGGAAGAGTGTCATGGGTAGAATAATACTCTGATGGAGGGCGCCTTTCATCATGTACCGTAGGGTGGTGTTTCGATGTTCCGACGTGTCGTACTGGTACTAGTATCGTACGACGTGTTACTATTAATAGCTAGCTATGGTACCGTACCAGTAGTAGAGGGATTACATGTCATGTGTCCGTGAGCCAAATGAATGCTGAGATGGTGGGTGTACCGGTATACGTAGAATGATCCATCATCAGGGGAGGGCAAATAGCATTGCAAGTTCCTTGATTGACGAAAGAAAACGCAGAAATCAGAAGCGCTGCTGCTAAAGATGAATGAAAGTGTCAGGACGTCCGACCAACCGGACCGGACCGGACCAAGGATTCTTTTTGGTAGTGTAACTTTATGCTACAGTATTGCATTCCATTCCATTCCATTCCATTCCATATATTATTGTACTAGTACGATGTAGTTCAATTATTATTGAGGTACTTGTTTGGGTTTTGTAGAATGTGTTGTAGTGTGAGATCCTGGTGAATCTTGCTGTTCTTTTTCTTTTGTTGGTGCACTCCATGTAAGTTGTTCAAGACGGTCTTGCAGCGCGTGGATTCAGTGTTGGAATGATTGTGAATGTTTTGCAATGCAGTTTCGGCTAGATGAGCCATTATTTGATCGTCGTGGGCATTGGTGTCGAAAGAAAAGTCCTGCATCACGGCATCCACAGTCGGACTACCAGTAGTTGTGCCCATAAGTCTTTTTGGAGTGCTTATAAGTCTTTTCTGTTTTTGCGGACTTTTGAGCTGGAGCGCCAATTTTCGAGCGGCGATTTGCTCGGCTTGTTCTTGATTGTCTTTGTCTAGCATCGCGTAGAAAGACTTGCAAGCTTCGCTATTGGAAAAGTCGAACGGCAAGCTACTAGTAGTAGTAGTAGAAGTAGTAGTAGTGGCTGCTCCGAACGGCTGCTTGACTTTCTTGGAGGACTTCTTGTCACTTGGCTTGCTCGTGCTCGTACTCGTACATGTGCTCTTACCAATCGTGTTGGGATTCACTGCTGAGAGCGCCGATCGCTTGCTACTACTAGTATAACTAGTACCAGCGCTACCAGCAATAGCATTCTGTGTCGTCGTCGTCGTCGTCGTCTTCATGGTCAACTCAACTCTACTCTACTCAACTCTTCGGCGATCAAATCAACAATGCCGCATCTCCAAGATGCTGAAGGTTTACGGGTCGGAGTAACACGGTGCAACTTTTTAAATTCGAATGATCAACACACAAGCATCGCCCTGCGATCGGTCACTTTTTATCATGTGCTTCCACGATCTTTTTACTTTCCACGGTCTGTTTCACTTGTCCGAGTCGCATTGGTTCAACAGAAGCATCGGGCTTGCTTGCATCAAGGATGGAATGAATCGAATCAATCATCGTTCTTGCATCTGAGCCTTCCTCTACGAGACGGTACCGTACGCACCAATACCGTGCCGTTCGTACCGGTACCTCTTATGGTTGCCATTGGTGTGGTATTCTATTATACAGTACCGGTATACTGCCACGGGATCAGGTACCAGTAGTGTTTCAGTGGGTTGCGTCCTTGCATGGGAGGAAGTCTGTCGTCAAAGACCAAGGCGGAGGGGTGTAGCATGTAGCAATTGAAGTAGGAATCAAAAGCCAGTGGAGATCAATAACTATGATGATACCAGTGTGTTTGACGAGGATCATGCCATGACAGGAGATTGATGTTCTACTGCTCTCGCTCATTTCTTGCTTGCTTGCTTTTTGGTTCTTGGGTTTTGGCACGGCCGAACTACAACTAGCTAGCTAGACTACCGGTGCCTTTAGTAACTGTTGTGCTGCTGGCATGCTTTCTTGCTTTCTTGATTCTCCGCGACTTCAAGCTTCTTCCGTCCCTTTCTGTTTCCCAGAAGCAAGCGAACAGTCAGTCAGCCAAGCCAGCAAGATGAAACAAATAATACTGTTCTTGCCAGTCCATGCACGGATTACGGATGGAACAGAATCTCTCTTCGCAGGCTGCTGTACGGTACATTCTTTCGCCATTTTGTGCCACTTTTCACTTTGCTTGATCATGAAAGCTATGCGGCTAGCTGGCTGTAAACTAGCTGTGGCTGGCTCTGCCTGCATGAGAGAACATCGTGCGATGGCTGGATCTGTACCGGTACTACCATGCCAACCAAGCAAGCATCATCGAAATCAAGGACGCGTCAGCTATCCAGAAGAAGAAAAACTCAAAATCTATAACTGATTCAGACAAAAAGCAAGTGCTTGAGGACAACACATGAGCCAGCCAAGGCCCAGGTGTTTCCCACATTCATTCATCCAAGTCTGCTCATCGGCCGGCTATGTTCCCATGCCACAGGTCGTTTGCACGTGTTCAAGAGAGTGGGAGGTTGTAAAGAGGTTGGGGAGGAAAGGATGATCAGATGTATATGGAAGGGATGTCCACAGGAGAATAAGACACAAGTACGTGACCATCTTTGTTTTTGTTTGTTTTTTGTTATTGTTATAAGGATTATGATTGCACAATGATAGGTATACTTACTTACAACGACGACAATAATAATAATAATAATAATGAGAATGTACTGGCCTTGCCTGGCCTTGTCTTGCCTTTTCTTAATCCTTTGGTTGTTCGGGTTGGGGTTCTTCCGCTTCTTCCTTTTTGGGTGGTGGCGGTGTTGCTGCTGCGGGCAAGGTTCCTTCCATTTTTCCGCCGCCACCACCCCTGACTGGAGGAGGCCCACTGACACCGACAAAGAGAATGATGATAAGAGAACATCCACCAATGCAAGCCGCAATAATGACAATGGCCAATCCGGTGGAACTCAATCCATCCGTCGTTGTTGACTGTTGTTCCTGTGACGCATCTGGTTGTTCGGCCGAGACTTCGCCCTTGGCTTGATCAATTTCGGTAGAGACTTGTTCGGAATCGGTGTTGACATCCGTGAGGCTGACGGTGGTGTTGACCGGTGCCAGGGCCGTGAGATGTGCGACAAGTGCGTCGGTATCATTGAGTGCCTTGACAACGGCCATTTCGACTTCGTCTTCGGTTCTCATGGGAGGACCTTCAAATGTGGCATTACCTTCAAAGAGGTACTTGGTGGTGGTACTTGTAGTACTAGTAGTGGGTTCTTGCAAGGCGCGCCTGGACGAATTGGTCATTTGATCTTCATCATCTTCGTCCATGCTGTCTCCATCTTGGTCGTCGAGCACAATGCCATCCTCCGTGTAAATGTCCACGTCAACGGCAACGAGGTTGGGTAGATCAGTCTTCATGTAGTTGAGTAGGTAATCCTCCAACTCTAGATCGTCATGGTTGATGGACGAGTCCATGGTAATGGCGAATGAGGGCAAACGTACGACGAATGTCTGTCCGGGCAATACGACAGTTTCGGTCATGTTGTTGTTTCCAGTACTAGTCATGTTCGAGGCTTCTTCTTGCATGGTCGTGCTGTCTTGATCTTCGTCTTCGTCTTCCGTTCCACCAGCACTCGGAGCCACCGTTTCTTCGTCGTCCGTAGCGTTAGGAGCTTCGACTCCCGATTCAATGACAATCACGTCGTCTCCAGTCGTTTCATCGGTTTCCATATCGTCATCATCTGTCATTCCGGACTCTTCGGTTTGCATTTCGTCATCTTCAGTGACTTCTTGTTCGTCTTCCTCGTCTTCGTCCTTGTCGTCGTCTTCCTTATCCTTATCCTTATTGTCCTTTTCGTCTTCTGGTTCTTCTGGTTCTTCTGGTTCTTCTTCCTCGTCGTCTAGATCTGGTTCATCCGCCGCCACGGGTTCTTCCTTGTATTTCTCCTTGTCTTCTTTCAGCAGTCGATTGAGATTATTCAACTCATTCGAGTTGCTACTACTACTGCGTCCACGTACCAGTCCACCAGTGCGGGCTTCGACTGGTACTACCAGAACATCGAGCAGCGCCAAGCTCAGCAACGACAGAAACACGACCGCCACGATTCTCGTCATTCTTATTCGTCTTCTTGGTTGAGTGAAGTTAGGTAAGAGATTTCGTACAGTCGTAACTTGAGTTATTAGATATCTTACTTTCGCAAAGCCAGCTTTATTGTGATTTGATTAAATTTTGACTTGATGTGCTTGTTGCTTGTTGCTTGCTTTCTCATTCAACAAGATTCTTTTAGGCTTCTCCACGAGAAGGAAAGCGCGGGATGGATGACCGCCATCGTCTACAAGACTTCATTCGTACCCTTTACCCTCCAACAAACGCTCTATGATAGTCTATCCTAACGAACACCAAAAGGGCGCCCTTCGCTCTGACACTTCCACTTGCTATCTATAGCAGATCTCGTGCCTTCAGCTGTGGTACAGTACACGGGACCTGCCAAGATAGCCACCACATGTGCTCTTCAAGGATACTTAGAAAACCCACACATTGTCACTTAGGCAACAGGCGCTCACTCCAATCTAAGTACGCTTCAATCTTCAACCGTTGCAAACGTCTTTCTCACTATCTTAGGTATAGCCGGATTTCCAAATTTTCGTCGAACGACAGTCCCTCTCGCGTCTCATCTATCTTCCCACCAAAAAAGAAAATTAGATCGCAACAGCTGCAGGCAAGAACTTTTTGGTTGCTTCTGGAAGTTTCTACAAGCAATTCCGTTGACAGAGAGGGAAACTTTATCATGAATGTCTAATAATCGAATCGAATCTATGCTACGGCAGTACTCTATGCAAAGCAGTAGTATGCAGGGGCTTGCGGGAGGAAGCCATGAATGGTTAGCTGGCCAGCTAGCTAGCTAGCTAGCTACTAGCTAGAAGCAATGCATTGGCAAAGAGTGCTCGCTTCGTAGTTTTTTATCCTATCTGCTGTCTGTGGTAGCTAGCTAGCTAGCCAGTGCCCAACCAAGCCTTTTGCCCAACAGGAAGCAGCAGTGGAAACATACCGTGCAGTATGCATCGTATCGTATCTTATCGTATCGTATCGTACATGTAAGAGCGGCCGCATGTGTAGCCGCAGCAAAGAAGACACAATATTCGCTCAGCCAGCACGGCCTGGCTGGTTTGTCTTTGTCACCACCAACATAGCGCCGAGTGGCTATGTAGCTAGTAGCTAGCAATTCGGAACAAGCAGGGAAACTGAATAACTCTAGCTAGCTAGTAGCAGCAAGCAAGGTCATCCAACAACCTGCCTATCCTTGGTATCACGTGATTCGATTCCAGCATTCAACCAATCATTCGGAACAAGCAATCAAAGCAAGTACAAGCAATTCCTATCAAGGGATGCTGGCTATTAGCTAATAGCCAGCCAGCATAGCTAATAGCCAGGACAAGCACCGTGCAGCCAGGAGCGGATTGAAGTACATGTAAGACTGGGCCAATAGCAGGGTCGGCAATGGCGTCTGTACGTCGCCGAGGGAACCCGGATTTTGACCATATCTCGAAAGTAGGCTTTTTATTAAAAATATAAAATCTCCGCTATCCAGCAATGTAGATGTTGATATAGTCCGACGGGCAGAAGCTAACGTTTTAGCTTAGTTACGCAAACGACAGGCTCGACGCCTTCCGAGAGGCTAGCGTTCCAGCCAATCGACTCAACCAAAATCGAGTCGAAAGAGCTTGGGACTGCGAGTCACGTTTCGATTTCGACTCTTTCTTTCTCACAAATTGCGTCCATGGTGGCAGAAAAAGTCGACCATGGCCGAAGAAAACACCCCTGAACGGGGCGGTACGCCTCCTGTTGCCCCTACTAGATTGTTCAGGAGCCCTGTGGCCAAGCTTAGTTCCAAGATGGCGAAGGATCTGGAGGAAAACGAGGGTGATAGCCTTGATAATCTCGTGGAATACGTCAATTCTGCCCTGGCGAAAACAGTCTGTTTTGACCTGGTCAACAAACCTGGACGTGCTACAAGTTGCACTTGCCTACACGATCTGCAAGAACAGATAGATGACGACGATATTCACTCCTGTGCGAAGGCACTGTTCTTGTTCTGCAAGTTGGACTATGCAGAAAGAAAGAGAATGGTGAAAGAATGGATCCGCTCTGGATTGGCCGCACAACTCATGTTCCAAGGACTTCATCGTGAAAGTTCAACAAGAGTTTTCCTTTTACCTGGTTCGACAACAAGGTTGATTTGCAGGAACGCTCTATGCCAATTGATTGGTTATGGACAGAAGGCGTGGAAGGGAGTGGTCAAGCTTGTCAAATCCGGTGATGATCCTGTCCACGGATTGAAGAACAAGCCCGGCAACAAACTGAACAGTAGATCGCTCGACCATATGAATGAGTTCTTCTCTTCAATGAAAGAACATGCTCTTCCCCGTGCAACCAAGATTGTCCGGACAGAAATGGTTGATGGGTTGAACACGGCAATTGAACTTCGAGAGGAAGAGAAAGATGTTGTCGAATTGCCATCTTCAATGACAAAGCGGTGTCTGTACAACCGATTCATAGGAGAGCTTGGATGGAAAATCAAGTGGGACAACAAGGGGCGCCTGTTGAAGAAGGTTGAAATCCCTGACAAAGAACAGAAAGTTACTGCTTCTCAGTTGCCATCGTGGAGCTCCTTTCGACGTTTCTGGAAGAAGGAATACCCAAAGCTTGTTATTCAGAAGCCAAGTGCCGACATCTGCGACCAGTGCTATGTCTTTGCCAATAAACACAAGTACTGCGAACGACATGCTCCTGCTGCAGCAGAGAAGAAGAAAAACAACAACAAAGATAATGAAGAAGATTCTGATGACTCTGATGCAGAAGAGTTGGAGTTTGAGAAAGCACTGACCATGGTTGATCCCTATGCCGACATTCAGGAAAGGTTTGATGCCATCAATGCCATGGAGGATTCTGTAATGTAGGCGTCGATGCATGTTGAAATGGCACGACGGCAGAGAGCTCTCTTCAATCTCAAGAAGGAAGAAGCTTTGCGTGACACAGACAAAGAGTGGGACCAGCGAGTGTACACTTATGTTTGCGATTATGCGCAGAACATTGATGTTCCACACTTTGGACAAGAGCAGCCTGGCGAGACCTACTATCTTTCCCCATTGTGGGCCTATGTATTCGGTGTGGTTGATTGCTCGCTGAACCATCTCTATGCATTTACTTATATAGAAGGAGAAGGACAGAATGGCGGCAACAATGTGGCAAGCCTTCTGGCGCAACTACTGATTATGGATGGCCTTGTGACGACTGGTGGAGGTCTTAGGAGAGATGACCAACACCACCACCCAGTGCCGGAGATCAACTTCTTCTTTGACAACTGTCCTGGACAGAACAAGAACAGAATGGTGATCCGGCTACTCTTTATGCTGGTCAACAGAGGCATCTGCGTCAAAGCCCGCGCTACTTTCCTTATCAAAGGGCATACAAAGAATGACTGTGATCGGATGTTCAACCTTATGAAAAAGGAATACAGAACAGTAAGATGGCTATGGTTCGTCTTCTCATGAAAACCTGAAATTGAAACTGTCTCACCCACTGCCTTTCCAGTCAAACGTCTTCACTCCAGAGGATCTTATTGCTTCTATGCGTCGGGATGATGTCACTCCAATCCGTGTCAAGGAAAAGGAAGACTTCTTTGATTGGGATAAGTATCTCGATCAGTACTGGGCTCCAGTCAAAGCTGTATCAGAACATCACTGCTTCGAAGTGGATGGTACAAGGAGCATGCATCATATGTTTGTCAAGCCGTTCGATGGAGCCAAGGAAGAGGCCCAGCTACTCACTCGATTGAAGTTTCGTCCCAAGGAATGGAGGAAAGCTCACAAGAATCAAGACTGGAGTGTCTTCAAGGAGCCGCTGACCTTGGAACATGGACCAGCCCACTTAGAACCTCCTGGAATTCCCGACATCAAGTGGCAGGAGCTGTATGACAAGTGGCGCAAGCTGATACCACTAGACAAGAGAACAATCAAGTGGTTTAAAGAAGACCCGGGAGTAGAACGTCGAGCGAAGGTTCAAGCCAATTCGAAAAAGGCCAAAGCTACCAGGAGGCAACGTACAGCTACTAAGGTGTCAGCAGCTGAAGCAGCCACTATGGCTACTGCGCCAACTGAAGTTAACAACTCTATCTAAATAGTTAACAACTATAGCCATTGTGGCAGTCTAATGTAAGTATAACAGTGGCAATGACATGGTATTGTTGCCTTTTTTGCACCATCTAACTTCTTTCGCGTTTATCTCGACTTGCCTATCCCGCGGAAAACGGACGACGGACAGAAAAGTTACCGTCCTTTTTATTGGCCCAGTCTTATTTTCAAACAGCCCGGCCCAATTGTGCACCTAACTCCTTTTCCGGGCATCCATTGTCCCGGGCCCATTGCTCTACTTCATGATGCACGCTACTTTTCGCGAGCCCAATAGTGAATGCATCCCATGGGCAACCATTTTCACGCGCCCATCTTAGTATTTCCAAGCTTCCAGCTCCAGCAGCAGACGAACAGGAAGATTCGTCGCATGGACAACCATTCTCTCGGGCCCACTTCAAAATTTCCAATTCAGCTGCAGCAGCATACGAACAGGTCCGTTCGTCCCACGGACAACCATTCTCTCGGGCCCACTTCAAAATATCCAATTCCCCAGCTTTAGCAGCGTTTGCACAGGTCTCTTCGTTCCACGGACAACCATTCTCTTGGGCCCACTTCAAAATATCCAATTCCCCAGCTTCAGCAGCGTTTGCACAGGTCTCTTCGTCCCACGGACAACCATTCTCTTGGGCCCACTTCAAAATATCCAATTCCCCAGCTGCAGCAGCAGCGGAACAGCTATATTCGTTCCATGGGCAACCATTCTCGATCTCGGGCCCACTTCAAAATCTCGAATTTCCCAGCTCCAGCCGCTTCATCACACGTACATGTACGTACGAAGGAGAAGAGTTTAATTGGCTTCACGCTGTGGGTGCTCTGCGGTATAGCGGTGAGGTACCGTTACCAGTACCAGCATACCAGGTACTAGTACCCGTATGGGGTCGGTGTGCACTTCAGCAGAAGCCACGGGAACACGATCTTGACACAATTCAAGCCCCCTGTTGCCATCGCTTGAAAGCCCTGACTTGAGTACTGTCGCAATGCCATTGCCGCCATTGGAGCGTTTCGATAGAGGGGTGGCATAGAGGGATGAATGAATACTTGGTTGATCTTTCTCAATCCATTGGCGCAAACACCAAACTGATCTCGTCTCGTCTCGCCCCATAGAACACAAAGCTGGCTGCGGAGATAAAACACACAAAATACCAAAACACACTCACGGATCCATCCCATCGAGTGGAGGCATGGATCTAGTGTCATATTGGGTTGACCCAACCAACTTTTCTCTTGGCTACAGATACACTACTTTCATAGTGGCAGCTTGATCTTGCCGCTTTAGCTTGCTAAAACGAGGTTAGATTTCTTTGGGAAGGCAAGACACAGCTACTAAATTGGTCTGAGTACACTTTCAACCAGCTCGTGACCTACTTGTGCTCTACACGGGTACGCCTCGGGTTGCTACTTTGTTTCCTCTCCTGATAGCCCATCCGAATCGAAATCGGAATGCTGACTAGCTAGAATCAGAAGGATACTCCCATTCCAGTGGGCATCCATTGTCTCGGGCCCATTGCTCAACTTCATAATGCCCATTATCATTTGCGCTCCAAATAGTGTCTGGTCCCCATGGACAACCATTTTCGTGGGCCCATCTTAGTATTTCCAAGTTCCCAGCTCCAGCAGCACTTGCACAGGTCCCTTCGTCCCACGGACAACCATGCTCTCGGGCCCACTGCAAAATTTCAAACTCCCCAGCTGCAGCCGCTCCATAGCATGTCTCTTCATCCCACGGGCAGCCATTCTCATGGGCCCACTTCAGCAACTCAAAGTGACCCAACCGAGCAGCAATGTAACAGGTATCTTCACACCAAGGCCGTCCAGTCTCATGGGCCAACTTGAAAATCTCCAACTCACCACCTTCAAGAGCAGATTCCATTGTCTCTTCATCAACTTCCCAAGGACATCCGTTTTCGTATGCCCATTTCAGTACCTCATAGTGACCATAATTAGCAGCTCTCCAGCATGTCGATCCATCCCAAGGACAGCCATTTGTATGTGCCCACTCTAGAACACCCAAATGACCATTCATGGCAGCCTCTGCACAAGTCTCTTCATCCCAAGGACATCCATTTTGATGTGCCCATATCAAGGCATCCAAATGACCATCTCCAGCTGCTGCAGCACAAGTACGCTTATTCCATGGACAACCATTATCTCGAGCCCATTTCAGAACCACCAAATGACCATTCCCAGCGGCCGCGGCACAAGTATGCTCGTCCCATGGACAACTATTTGCACGTGCCCATTTGAGGATCTCCAAATGTCCATTTTGAGCAGCATGGGCGCATGTCGTTGCATTCCATCGACAGCCATTTTGACGTGCCCACTTGAGGATCTCCAGATGACCTTCTTTGGCTGCAAAGAAACAGGTACGCCGATCCCATGGACAGCCATTTTCACGTGCCCATTTGAGGAGCTCCAAATCGCCCCGAGACGCAGCTTGGGCGCAAATCTCTTCGTCCCATGGATATCCGTTGTGGCGGGCCCACTGAAGAAGCCGCAGATTCCCCGTTTTAGCTGCAATACTACAGGGAAGAGAGAGAATCGAGGCGGAAACGTCGTGATTTCCGCGTTCCCAGTACTGGGCACATGACACGTTGAAGAATGCGGCAGTGTAGGATGTTTCTGTACAAGTCGCTGCGCGGTGGTAAGGATGATAGCTGCATTTCACTCGAAGACAAGGGTCCTCCACGGAAGCAAAACAAGCTTTGTAGAGTTGATTGAATTTTTTGTTGACGGCACCCACGAATGCATACTGTCCAATACCTAAACAAGGAAGGATATTGTTGATCCAGATGTCATCCTTATCCAACAACTGGTCAATGGGGGCTTCATTTGGCAATGGCTGCTCTCTCGGAGGAGTTCCTGGAGCTGTAGATGGCATGATGTTGTCAGCTGCTTGCTTGGTGAGGTGGTGGCAGCGGCGGTGGATATAGACTGAGACCAAAAGTCAGCAACAGAGAGAGTGCTGAGTGCTGGGCGGCCAAAGCCAGAGAGCGTCATTGGTTGTACAGGCGTACCAAAAATGTGCTTCGGTACTGCGAAAGTTAAGGTAATTATAGGGTTAATGCTACAATTTACTCTGCGATTTTAATAGAGAATAATATTTACCGCATCTACCATATTTCCAAACCAAGGGTACCGTGGAGCTGGCCAACGCGCAAGGCCTCACATTCTTGTGCACATTTTGCCACCCTTTTTCCTTTGGCCAAACCTGTTGGCTCCTTTTGTTGATTCGCTGGCTCGAGCAGGTAGCTATTGGCTAGCAAAAAGCAGCATCTTGACACACCCAGCCACTTGTTTGAGCCCACCCGATGCGACGGGAAAGATAGTGGGAATGGAAGACAGAAAGAGCGAGCATGGCATTTCCAGCATGAGGCCTGGGGAAGATTCGATTCCAAGCTGGGTTTGTCCGAGAAGCAAAATTGGGGATCCAGTCAAGGGAAGAGAATTGCTTCAATTCTAGCACGGACCGCAACCATCAATCGGCTCCTTCGCCACGATCAGGGCACTCTAAAGTCGTTACCTAATCTACTAGTAAAGATCTTCGTCCGTTTTGTCCCGGGGTTCATCTTCAAACATCTTCTTGACCAGCTCAACCGCCTCTTCCATAGATGCGCCATCCTTACCACCATTCTCACTCCCCCGATAGGCATTCGTAACCAAACTAAGACAATGGTTCAGTGAGTAGTGTTCGTGGTTTTCAATGATCCAGGCCATGACGTCCTGTGAAAACGAAGGTGAGAAACCCATACTATTCAGCAAACAACTCGAGCTCCACCAGACGTTACCTTCTTGGGATAGTAAAAAACCTTGATGAACGTATCTACACGGTTTCGGCTCGTCAAGTTTGGCTTTGGAGGGGCGGGGTACTCCACTTGGTATTCGAGTCGCTCCATTACAGCCGAGGGTTGGATCCCAGCTGAAAAGGATGCCAAGTCCATGTTCATTTGGGCTCTACCTTCCGTCGAACAATATGGAATCCGTGCAAAGCCATCTAGCAAGCATACGTACCCCCCTTCAATCATGTGTTCCCAGATCGATTTCCGAACGCCATCAGGGAGCTTGTTTGGCGAGATGCTCAGCGCCGCCCAAATACAAGCACATCTGCTGGCGAGTGATTCGATGTATTCATTCGGGTGTTCATTCAACTTGCACTCTTCCCAGCCCGGACCAACCTGTATCACCTTTGCACCAATGAAGAAGGTAAAGATGAGACGAATCTTGGCTCGCGACTCCGGACAGGTGCATGTCAACCTGAAACAATCATTGGCACAAGACATACCTCAGAGACCACACGCCGTGCCATAATGGCCCGCATTGTGGAGACCTTAGAGGCAAGCTGGATCAGTTTTGAAACCGTCTTTAATGCCGCCTCTTTGTAGTGTTCGAGAGTGGAGAGATCACTACAATGTGCTCTACCACTTCGTGACTCGCAAAGTTTCTTCCTTGCCACCACACAAGTCGCATCGAGCAATGCTGCAATTCCCAAACAGCTCCACGCTGCTCCCATTCGTTTCTCCAAGTTGCTAATGGCTTTGACGACAAATCTGTCATCCTCTTCCTCAGAACTGCTGCCGTTGTTGTTAGAAGATGGTGTCACAGTGACAGGGTCCGTAATCCATTGGTCAACCTTGTCCAAGAGTACAATGTCTCTGAGGGTGAGCTGGGCTCTCTCGATAAACGCGCGAGTGGATGTCAAACTGGAAGAATCGCAAAACAGCGGTGCACACAAGTCTGCTTCCAAGGTTGCAGGCAACTCTATGGATTGCATTGAATTCCGTCGCCTTCCACTGAGAGATGAGCTGCTGGATCGCCTTCTAAAGCCGAACAACGGAGGTGATGACGGCGGTTTGTCGGATTTGCCTGGTGAGGACATTGGAAGATGCGGCTGTTGATTCAATTCGATCAGAGAAGGACGATCTAGTCCCAAGATGATTCGTTCAGTGCTTGCACTGCCGACACAGATGCGAAAAACTGTTGTGAAGTAGAGATCGCACAGGTTGGCAAAAACAACGCTGACGTCTTCAGTAACAAGCGGAAGCTTTCCCATGATCACCAGAAGACGAGCAATCCGCGTGAAGAAAACTTTCGCCAAACTCTTGGATGCCAGTCTTGTGAACGATGAAGCTTCCTCCCCTCCAGATGATAGGAACTCATTTATCATTTTGTAGACTTCAGTGTCACCATGAGGTATTCTTGTGCTTGGCTCGCTTTCATCTTGGCGCGCAGGTTCAGACAAGGGGGGTTCCTTGTCCCCAACAACGAGAAAAGGATTGGCAGCAGCACTTTTCTGCTGATCACCAGCGAAGAGGGATCTTCGACACGTCTTGGCACATCGAGTAGGAGTGATCGACTCATTGATTTCGCGGGATGAGTCCAAGATGGCTCCGATAAGCAACTGCGAAGTAAGAATAATGAGACAGACAAAGTGATTCAGCATCGCCCCCCTGCTAAACTTAGTCAAGACGTACCGTTGGAAGTACTGGTCGCGCTTCCGACTGAGCCAATTTGGATGATTTTTCGAATTCAGAAAGTTGTTTCAATGCAACCATTTCCCAGTTTTCTTGGCTCAGACTAGATCCTAACGCGTTCATGGCTTCGACATGAACGAACCGCAGATGTTTTCGAAAGACGTCACAGAGTTTCTCTTTTAGGTCTCCGTCGATGTCGCATGGGCTGCTCATCGCATGGGAGTCAGTATGGAATCGAGACCTGAGCGACGAGAACTGTTCTGTTAGCTTCAACAGGTTGTGCATTTCTTCAAGGTGGAGCCGCCATTTGAGTTCTCCCGAGGTCGGATCTTTGAAGAAGCTCTCGTGCGAGGCAAATTGCAAGTATTCCTCTAAGCACTGGATCAACACGCCTTCGCAGCGCTTCCAAAGAGTTTCACGTGTCTGCATCCATGCGAGCCGAATAGAATCCACGGAGCGTTCTTTTTGGTCGCAAGTGTTGTCGATTTCGTCAGCACCTAAGTCGCATATCTTCTGGTCTTGCGGGTTGTCATGCTGTGCAGTATCGTTTTTTTCTTCCTTTCCTTCATCTCTTGATGATGAAACGGTAGAGACGTCGAGTTTCTTTATAAGACGTTCGTGCCATTGGCCGATCATGTGGTGGGCATACAGGACGTCGGCAAGGTTGTGGCACACTCGGTGATACACAGGCAGCAGATAGGCACTGGTTTTCTCCCAATCAAACCGAATGATGACCAAATTGTGCGTGATGGTACGTAGCTTTGCGGCATCTCCCCAGTCCTGTTGGATCTCATAGGCCAGCTGGGTCAACTCACGTTCGAATTCGGAATCTGTACTTGAGGAGCCGTCTGGCTCGTCGGCGGAGGTTAGGGGATCCAGCAATGCCGCAGCAAAAACGCGATCCGCTTCATAGCACAGAGCTTCCAACATTGTTTGTGGCCATGACTTGGCCGGAGCCAGCGAGGCCGGTGTGTTGCTTTTGTGTTCTTCGTCTGCCCGGTCTCGATTATCTTTCCCGTCCTCTTCCCCAAGCAATAAATGCACGTCAAGGGCTGCTGACAGAAGGTTCTTGTACTCTGTCGAAAGACCAAATGTTCTTCTCCTGCAGGCTCGTACTGCAACTGAGTCCGCCAGTGCGTGCAGCCTGTTGCGAAATGATTGGAGTAACTCGTTGTCGGCAAGGCGGCAACGCAAGTCGTTAAGGGCCAAAATCTTTGATATGGCTTCGTTGCTCAATACGTCCTTCTGCAGCTGCAACACTTGACGAATGATTGAAGCGTACTCGTGAGGTCGTTCAGTCTTAAAGGTGAAGGTCGAAATTTTTTCGACCAATCCTTTTTCGATTTTCAAGGTGTCTTGGATGGTTGCCAGTGTGGTGTCCAGAGCAGTATACAGGTCTCGTTCTGCCCACGCTTCCAGCAAATTCTGTGCTCCGAACCAACCACTTCCTTCGACAAAGTGTTCCACTTCGTGGTCGTAACTACCACGAGCTGCTTGTCTCACATATGCCTGGCTTCTCGTCAGGTACATTTGTGCAATATGCAAGTTGGACGAAAACTGGTGGATAGAGTGGTTTGCTCGCTGAAGAGACGACTCGTGAGGTTGAATGTGTCTCAATAAAAGCTTGGCAACTTCATTTTGGGCCGCGTCAAGATGACACAGCTCCTGCGTTATGTACCCTTCCCAAAGAGCTTGTCGATCTTGCTGATCTTCGAAGGAGTACGCAGATGAGACCTGCAGAGCGTTTTCGGCGCGCTGGTGATCCCAAATATGTTTGATGTGATGCCAGGGGGCGCTCTGAATAACACGAGTTGTGTCATCAAATTCTGCTGTAAAGTAGTAGTGAGGCAAGTCGAGATCTGCGAGTGACACCTGAGGTTCAACGTCGTCGTCATCGTCGATGTCCACCTTCTCGAGGACAGAAAACAGAGACGAGGTTGAAAGGGGGGGATTCCGGTTCCGTAACGCCTGCTTATAATTTTGTCTTTGTCTTCTGGCAAATCGTGCCACTGGCGTTGATAAGTCAGATATCGGAAGTCGCAGAGAGATGCGGAGGTCCTGTTGCGCAGCGGACTCTGCCCATTCCAGATCCAAGCTTGCTCTTTCGTCGTCTTCGACATGCTCACTGTCGTCTTCACTGAAAAAAGAGCTTTCCAGAACGGGGTGTGTCAATACAACTTGTTTCGGTGGTTGATTTTGCTGGGTCTCGGTTAAAGCTCTCGCAGTTTCGTGCTGCTCCTGGACGGCGCAATCTACTTGGAGGGAAGCCAAGGGAGCAAGTTTTGGCCCTGAGGAGTCTCCCGATGCACTCTGTGTTGGCTTTGAAGGTGAGGATGCTGCCGCGGTTAACCGAGGGCGCGCCCCTCTACTGCATTCGTTGCGGATTGTTGCAGGTTCTTCTTGTTCGTCTTGTGCTACGGCAACATTGACTGGAGACTCTGCAAAGCCTTCGCGTTCACCTCTGTTTGGCAATACATGGCATGCACCAGTGGACACAGGAGCATGTTGATCTCCTGTTTCTCCAGCAGCGCAAAAGTCTCCGAAAGATTCTTCATCTTCGTCTCGCTCTGACATGCATACTGCAGATGGGACATCCATTTGGGCGACCGATTCGTTGTTTGGTTGTACAGGCGTGTCCTGTGTGATCTCAGGAGGCTCGTCGAGTCTGTCCGTATCCACAAAATCATCGCAGACACTTGATTCTTCGAGACTGGTCACATCTTTCTGGCTATCCTCTCCACGTGCCAAATCAATATACCTTGCAGAGGTTTTGTGCTGGTTGCGTTCCTCTTCTGGTAACACTTCTATCCGTTCCAGAGTTTTGCTGTTGTTTTCCGTGTCAGACGATAGTGACGAGTCTGCCACAGATTGAATACAGGAGCCAAGGACGGCGTCTTCTCCGTCAGCTTGAGGTTCTACATTGGTTGGCGCCATAGCCTCCTCATCCACATTGCCAACTTGTACTGTTTTGTCAACCTGAGTCAATTCAGCAGCTTCTGCGTCAGTGTTTGTGGGCTCTTGCGCAGTCTGGGCAAGCTCCTTTTCAGTAACTTCCTGTTCCAGCTTTGTTGCCAGGTTGCATGTTTCCAATAGCACTTGGTTTCTCTCCTTTGCGCCATTTGCCGTGTCGAAGGTTCTGTTGAACTCGTCTGTCGGCAAAGATTTCAATATTTGCACTGCTTCTTCCACCATGAATTCTTCTTGGCTCTTCTCTTCCTCCTCGGACTCTATTTTTTGAACTTCTTTGGCTCTTTCCTGATCATCGCCTTCCTCTTTGGGCTGGATAGATTCTTCTTGGACGATCTGTTGTGGCCCACCTTCATCTTCCACATTGCCGTCTACTTTGCTTTCTGTAGCCTCGGACAGACCTCCCCCAGGGTGTGGCGTGGCGAAGATGTTGTTGGATTTTTCATCGTTGAAGGATGGAGTAGCCACAATGGCTTGTTGGAAATCTCCAAAGTCGTCTGAATCTGGTGAATTAAGCTGTTCAGCAGCAGAAGGAGCAGCAGCATCATCATCAGCAGCATCCTCCTGATGATTTCCATTCTTGATGGTTGGAGTAGCAAAAGCATCTTCATTCATGTCAAAGTTGGCTTCAAACTGAAATGATTTTTCTTCCTCCTGCATTTGTTGTTGGTGTGTTTCTTCCCTTTCACTCAGGTAATTGCCTAGGTAGCCTTCCATATCCCATGGTTGATTCAAGTACTCAAGATATTCCTGACTGGTTTTCTCGTCTGTTTCCCACTCTTCTATACCATCTAATAGCCAATCATAGTCACGACCGGGCACATAGCTAGAGGGAGCTTCAGGAGGCACCACTATAGCCGAGGAGTTTGTCTTTTTGGGGCCCACATAAGAGTAGAGAGAAAACATGGCTTGATCAATAGTGGCAGTGGTCTTTTGGTTTGTCGTGGTAGAAATCACAGAAGCGTTGGAAGAGGAAGATCGGCGACGATCCAGTGGCCGTCTCGCAGGATCTCGAAATCCAGATCTGGAAGTATTGCCATCTTCATGGTCCTGAAAATCCACCGCTGAGGGAGACGCCAAGCTATGGATGGAGTGCTTCAACCAAACCTTGACACGGCGCGCTTTTTGGGCTCGGGGATTCGTCGGTTCCGTCCAAGCAATGGCAGCAGTGTCCACCATCTCCTGTGCGGCTCCACCGCTGGTGCCGGTTCTACTGGGAGACGCTCTCGTCGTCATGGTCTGAGTATTTCATCAAGTGATTGACAGTCGCAGTCGTCTTGTGGTGGTAACATCGCCTTCCGAAGCATTGGCAAAAGCTTGGAAGCCGTCCATACGGGACATCTAATTGTTCGGCGAATCACGAGTCAGGCCACCGCGCTGAGACCGTTGTCACAATTTCTTCACAAACCACACAAACACTTCCCAACCAAAGCAACGAGCAGTGAAGCTTCTACGTCGATTGATCTCTTGCCAGTACAGTGACTTCATACATCTTGTTGATTCAAAGAGTCAAAAGCGAAATAAGACAGTGAGAGCAACGGCCGTCAGACAGAACGACAGGCAGCAAGGCAGAAGCGACACAGCCGCTATTCCTTCATACAAACTTCCCTCTTGCCATTTCAACCATGGAAGAGACGCTTGTGATTCGCATCAGACACGTGGGTGATATAGCTGCTATCACTGCTTGGAAACGAGACGGCAACCTCCAGAATCCTGTTTCTCTCAAGATATATCTCCAACCACGTGCCCACAATGTTGAGTTCTTCGATTCCAGCATGATAATGATAGCGATCTCCGTAAGGCGAATGACAAACTTGAAAAAATTGGAGATCTCTCACGACGAAGAAGCCACGGATGGACAAGTTTCCTATGCTTCAATTTATGCAATTACCAAGGCTATCGAGCCCCTCCGTCGCCTTGAAAATCTTGTCATTGGTCGCGATGTCAAGCTGTTTGGTCGGAAATGTTTTTTCGAAGACTTTGGAGCTGTTGTGTCTCAGTTACCTCTTACGTGTTTAAGATTCAAATGCTCCTGGGAGACGATTGGTCCAAAGCCATTCGATATGCCTCCCTTCCGACCAGTACTTCGGGCCATTCCTTTGATCCGAAGTCTACAAGAACTTTCATTTCATGAGCGTGTATCGAGACATTGGCTAGAAGCTGAACTGTCCCAGGAAGAGATTGAAACTTACTTCCGTGCAAGTCTTGAGCTACCAGAGCTCCTTTCATTTATCGTTTGTGATGGTTTGGTCAGAAATGACAAGATCCTCAAAACACTGTCACAAGCGGCAGCCAAGAATGAGTTCCTGGATTTCATGATGATTCCTTGTTTTGAATTAGGGAAAACTGGATCCATCGCCCTTTCCAAGCTAGTCCTGACAATGCGCAACATGTCAACGCTGGTTATCACTGTTCAGTCATTTCAATCTCGAGCCAATCGTAAGGATATCCTAGAAGAGATTATACTCAGCGTTGGAAACTCCAAGTTGGCTGATTTCGAATTGACCACCATGGTAATGGACACCAAAGAACTTCTCCCTTGTGTTTTGTGTACATTCAAAGCAGCATTGCAAGACAACTACACATTGAAAGAAGCCACCCTGAAACTGTGGGGAGAAGATGTCGCGGACGAAGAGAGCAACTTTTTGCTGGAAATGAACCGCCTAGGTCGTGGCGAACTTGTCCGCACCGCCTACAAACCAGAAGGTTGCAACCGTGGCGGCTGGATGAAAATGTTCGAGGCGGCCGGAGATAATCTGACCAAGCTCTACTGTTTGCTACGTTACAACCATCACTTCCTGCTTGAAAACTAAGGCAGCCACTTTCAATCTACGGCGCGTGAGAATGGCTCCCCACCGAGGAAGAACTAAACTCAACAAGAACCAGACCGTATCTCCGGGCATTCAACCAATGTTATGCTGCCGGCATAGCTCTTCTGTCGGTCAGGCTGCTTAACTACTCCGCACCGAACCAAAGTACGCACGAAGGGACCTCAATCGTTATTGTTTTCAGCATCGTTCGTTACATCAATAATAATAACGAGTCTTAGAAGAACACTGCTGGCCCCAGTATCTAGGTAGGGGGTACCGGTAGAGGAGTAATGGTAGCTGGTTCTGTAGCCGCAAATTCCCCTTCTTTTGCATAGTCAAAAGAGAACGTGAGCTAAGCGAAGAAACGTGTTCCCCAACAGTCTTGAAGGCATCGTCGCGACGCCGGTGAGGTTTACGGAAGCACACAGCACAAAAATATTCCCCATCCGCTCCCCGCTACCGTACCGGTACCTGCGCCCAAAGCCGACACCATGTCACACAAAACGTGTTTTATCATAGCCTCTGCTCCTTTCCTTTGATCTCGGACAAAGCAAATGGCTGACAATCTAGAAAATGATACGACAAGGCGCATTGGGAAGGTCCAAAGCAGACTCTGCAGCAAGGTACAGAAACTGGAAATTGCTTTCATGTACACCGTTTCCCTCTTTATTAGAAGATGTCCAAGGCGACAAGAATGATAACAATTTGTGCTGCAGCGGTGATGGAAGCACCTTTCCTGTTACCGCGGCTTCTTCATCTGTTGATACGTACTCTGGGACAAGTATGGAGGATGAAACAGCATGGGGCATATCCGAGAAGGAATGTCAAACCTCTCCTCTCAAAGACTTTGAAGAAGTCCCTCTAAATGCGATTGGCGTCTGTGTGCCTGGCTACCTTGTGTGTAGACCGACGAAGGAGTTCGGGTGATGTCATTGCCAAGCCACTGCAAAACCTAAAAGATGGAGAGATTGATAGATTAGAGTGATGACAAGAAGCAACACGGTGCACTGCATGCGAGAAACCTTGGTCAAGCTTGAAAACATGGTAGTGTCGATCTCAGACAATCTATCTAATCAGCGAATTTGGTATTTGACCGGCATCTCCCCCGAAAGGAATAAGGTGAAAGAAGACCTACCAAAATCTTCATTGATTGACACAAAGCGCAGGCAGCAGCAGCTCACAAACAAAACAAACGAAAACACAGAGGGTCCGATCACTTGAGTTGATTTCATCGCCACGCAACCAAAAAGGGGGGCGGATCGATAACACGGACCAAGTGTATGACTCTTCATTCCCTCGTTCATCAAGCCAACACACGAAAGAATCACACACCAGACGGGAAAACGATGCAATTTGAACAAAAGCGACGGAGTGACTCACAATATTGACTATCGTCTGCCTTGCTTTGCGCTGGAGTTGTTTGAAAGGGGCTTGTTGGTTCTGCATCAATGTCGCACACTTGCCTTGCAGAATCTTTGCACTCCCAGAGTCAATGTGGGAATATCATGGTTCACATGGAGAGAATGGATTGTCATTTGGTGATGTTTCACTGCGGTAGGAGGAACAGAACATTCCTGTTTTAGCGTCAACAGAAGGACCGAAAAACTTCATCCATGGCACAAAGTGGGGTTGAGCACCGTCGATACGGACCAACAAGACTGTAGCCACCTCTGGGCACTGAAAAGTTCAATCAAAAAGACTCTTCTGAACCTTTCGAGACATCCTGCAACAGCCAACACATGGGCTGACATCACTTGGCAGGCACACTTTGCCTGGAGGGCTGCCATATATATTGGCAGTTAATAAGCTTGCCATTTTGGATCGAACAATTCCAGTCCGCGTCTCTTCCCATGATGAAACTCTGGGTTGTGATGAATAGGTATGCCATATAAAACCAACAGGTGCTCAGGGTACGCCATGCGAGCTGCTCGAATTTTAGTAAAAACCATGCTCTGGACTCCAATCATATCCTGCTTGCTCCAAAAACGGCGGAAACGACAATCCGTAGGATCCTCAACCTAACACAAGGGAGCTCCATTGATATCTTGTTGTTGTTGTTGTCGATGGAATCGATCCAATGTATGACAAGTCAACTGGATACCAAGAGACACACCACTTTCAAGGTCGCTGCGTCGATCGCATGGCTCGAACTGTTCCTGTGATACAGATTCGTCAAGATTTCTTGCGACCATACTGAAGCCACTTGCGACCATCATTTGGACCATCCAGTTTTGTTGTGTGGCATCTTCTCGAACGGCAATAGAGCATAATCGGCATGTCCACAGCCAAAGTTGACCAGGTGGTCCGGAGATTAAACCCAGCTGTTCATTTTGCTGCAAGTAAACACTCGGAAGATTCTTTCTCCAGCACCCTGCTACCGGTAGACCACAGAGTCGCTACGAAGAAGTCAAGAGGCGACGACTGTCGGTTGTTTGGAAGATGATCACGCCATTGTCATGGCAAGCGATACTACGAGTATCTTTTAGAAAGAAGATCCGTCATGTTCATGGTATCTCTGCGGAAGTGCGTGGTAGCAACGTTTGACTTCTGAAGTCCTTTGGTATCAGGTTATGAGCTTCTCACCCTAACCCTACAAAAGGCAAGAAATCCAACTCAGCGCACTCGTCCTTTGCTTTTTAGAAACAACCGACCAGTCTTCCGTGGGACAGTCCTCCCTCTTCTATCCATCAAACATGTCATTCGGCTGGACTGGGAATTTTGTATGGAGTTGCTGTGATGTTTTGCCAAGAGAGGAAAATCTAGCTATCTAGACTATCTATCTCCATACGTTTTCCAACGAACTGGTTCTTTATACGTACCAATTAAAACACACTTCACTAGCCATACGTACCGTACCAACAACTAAAAAAAAATCAACATAACCCAACTAACTATACTCTTGGAGTTCCAAAAAGAGAAAGATATCCATGAACAACGCAAACCTTAACCATGTCCGCTGCAACTTTCTCATTCAAGTAGTTGCATCCAGGCTACCTGACATGCTTGGGCTGAGGTCTCATCAGTAGGCGGGGAGACGCGTGAGCTTGTGACGGAGAAATACGCCCCGTTTTGGGAAGAATGGCCACCGGTCTGGCCAATGTCGACCGGACCTTTTGGGACAACGTGGCCCGCACTTCAGCAGGACTTTGGGCTCCAAAGGTAGGTGACAAACAGGAAGACTTTGCAGGAGTAGTGACACCGACAATATCCATCGTATCTTCCACTTTGGGTATCGGGTAGAGCGCATCCTGTGTGAGCAAGTAGTTGTAGTCTTCCTTGCCATCGTTGAGCAATGTCAATGCCACCGGATTGAGACAACCCATTCGAGGCGTGAGCGGAGAGTGTGGTGCCGGGAGAATGTTGGAGGTATTGCTCAAGAAGGAAGAGTTTTGGTTCATACTAGGAAGTGACATGTCAAAGCTAGCGTCATCTACAGTAGCCGAGCTCGCAACCGTGTCATCGTCCATCATGGATGCTTCTGGTACGGGTTGCATTAGATATGGCAGTTGTTGTTGTTGATGTGGCTCCAGTGGCAAATCGTCGTCGTCGTCATCATCTTCCTCGTCTTGTTCTGTGTGTACTTCTACAGACTGATTCTGCTGATCCATGGAGATATCGTGCAACCCCAAGACGCGTTGATTCCTAGAAGAAGCCGTGGACTTGAGTAGTTCCTTGGAAGGCGTGTAGTTTGTCCCATCAAAACCAATGCGTTTGCTATTCATAGTTGGTGGATGATGATGATGATTCCCTTTATTATTTTTCCGATTGGCCGGAGTTAACCGAACAGCCCCCGTAGACAGCAGGCGCTGTTGAGTATGTTTCCCTGGTGGCGTGGAGAATCCCAAGCTTTGAAAGTGTTTTCGTAAAACTTGGGAAGTGCCCGGCGGTGATTTGGTCGATGGAAAGGAGGATGGCGTTGCTGCTGGACTTGTGTAATGTCTTGGCTGTGGCTTGTTGTTATTGTTGTTGATGATGGAAGAAGTAGTAGTGTCTACGGCGGCAGGGGACGGAGTGGTTGCGGTGAAGAAGGAGGGACTGATCTTTTGCCGTGGAGTTTGTCCCGTTAATCGTGTGCGAGCCGGTGTTTTGATAGGAGGAGCTTGAGCTGTCGCACTGGCGGTCGCCGTGGATGATGTCTTTGGGGCTTCGGCGGACTGAGAGCTATTGGCGCCAGCATTTTCCTTATCTCTGGGTGTGGCAGCGGCAGCAGCAGAAGCGGCAGTCTCAATCAAGTTTCGTCTGGGAGAGTCGTAGAGAGATCCCATGAGGAATGGAGAGAACCAAGTCATTGGTTGTCGGGGGACACAGGAGTTTTAGAAGGAGGAAAGAAACAAGGTGTCACCGAAACTGACACAGAGAAAACCTACCTTGCTTCTGAAGACATGCCGCCATTGTGAACCGCATTCGGTGTCTCTTCCATTGTTATAGATTGACTCGACGATTTGATTCCGTCAGCAATTCCTTCCTCTATTCCGGCTAGTACGGAATGGTTCGACAGCACTGCTCCAAAGACGCAAGCACCGGTGCACCCTGTCTTCTCTCGGGAAACTGTCGGATGGACAAGCCGTGTCAAGGAGCATTCGAAAACCAAGAGGATTCAATAGATTGTTGCTGGCAAAGTCAAACCGATTCTACTACTCTAGACACTCTTCAGAAACACAAATCATAACCCGAGGCGAAGGAACCAACAACTTTTGGTCTCCCGACAAGCCGCCAAAAATGAGAGTAAAGACAACATGAACGTCGAGGGAGAAGAAAGAGGAGACGTTGGCAGTGGTAGTGGCGCGCATCACGCTTCGTTTCAACAATGATTTGTGAAGAAAAGTGTTAATTCCTAAAGTTTAAACCGAATGTAATGTGACACTGAGTAAATATAGCGATTTAACATGGAGGTTTCCCCTTGGGGTCATTAATTCTTTTGTCAAAATCAAAATGTTGTCACATTTTTGCATTTTTAGGAAAAACCTGGAAAAATGACTGGGTACCGCGGCAGCACTCCAAGATCGACCAATGAACAAAAGGATCGCCAGGTAGACTGGCACAATAACACAGTACATCAGGCTCATTGCATCATCATCATCTGTAATCTATCTGTGAAGGAGTTATTACAACAGACGAGCTGGGTAGATATTGGATTATTATCTAGAGCTGCTCTAGCCAGAGGAACGAAGCGCTGGAGTTTGGGCGTGAAGTCTTTGTTTCTCCTTTGGATCCATTAACCTTATCCCACCACAGGCGTAGCCGCAGCAATGACCAGCTTGGACGATAATGGTCAAGACGCTGTAGCACCGTCAGAAGACTCTGCTGCGACAGACAGCTCCTCTGCTCCAGTCGTCGTCACACCCCCACAAAAGATAGAAGAGGAGCAGCCGGCACCGGCATCCGATTCTGTCGATACTGCCACCACCACAGCTACCACCACTACTACAACAAATCCTCCTGAGATTCTAACCAACACACCCAAACCGAGGAATCTGCCCCCTAGAAATGCCACATCAGATTCGTTGCGATCAGGACCGTTGCCAACCATCGAGGAATGCTTGTTTGGAATACCCCGTGATATCACTAACAAAACTCTAGAAGATGACGAGGACGAAACGGCCCAGTTCTATGTACCCCTCAATGTACTGCGACGAGTAGCCTCCCAAGGAATTGACGATGACGACGAAAAACTGGGGGGAAGTCAGCGTGGATTGGCTTGGAGACTCCTCTTGGGATTTCTGCCGGCGGATCGGCGTGAATGGCAGAAAACTTCAGATCAACAGCGTCAGTCCTATCATGCCTTCGTCCAATCGCTGTTTTGTGTAGAGGAACGCGACATTAATGGAGCCGAATTAAGAGGACATCATAGCAAACGACATCGCAACAAATACGATGAAGAAGCTAGGAAAAAAGAGCGACAAGAAAGGAGAGAACAGAGAAGACTGTCCAAAGAAAACAATTCACTGGATGGATCGTCGTCGCGACACGAAGACAGCCTGAATCCACGATCACCTGTCAAATTTCTGGATGAAAGCAATGGTGGTTTCGAAAAAGAAAATGGAGACATGTCGAGCAGCGACAATTTGGATGATGGCGAAGATAACCGTGGCGGATCTGAAACAGAAGAAAAGACGAGCGATAATGGAAATGATACCGAAGAAGAATCGCCACGGAAAGCACTTCCCTCTACCAGGGAAAAGCTATCGTCGTCCGATGTGCTGCATGACGACCCCGCCCAATGGAACATGTCGGTTAGGGAACAGAAAATCTTGGAACGTCTGACAAACCATGATGCCGTCAACCAGTTGTTGGTCAAGCGTAACTGCAAGACCTGGAACAACTTTCTCGAGAATGCTACCTTGCTAGATGAGATTCGAAAAGATGTCAATAGGACACATCCACACCTCTACTTTTACTTGGAACCTGATCAACGACTGGGAGCTAGGCGGTATGGAGCACTCGAGCGGATCCTTTTTGTTTGGGCCAAGTTGAATAAAGGAGTAAGTTCAAGTGTGCGATCTCGAGTAAATCTAGCTGTCGGTAGTTTAGGCACGCATCCAACCTCACAATGCTCTGCTCTACATGCAATTCAGGTCCGATATGTGCAAGGAATGAACGAGATAGTGGGAACTCTGTATTATGTGCTTGCCAACGATTTCAATGATGAATGGGCGGATCATGCCGAGGCCGATACCTACATTCTGTTCAACAAAATCATGTCCGAAACCAGAGATATCTATGTCTCAGATCTTGATACGGCAGATACTGGCATTGTGGGAAGAATTGGCAATATGCAAAACTTACTCAAGTTGCATGATCCGCAGGTGAAAGGCCACCTGGACGACATGGCGATCGATGCATCGTTCTATGCTGTGAGGTGGTTGACGACCCTACTTTCTCGAGAGTTCTTGCTGCCAGATACAATACGCCTCTGGGACAGTATGTTCGCTTCTACGCACAAGGAAAACTTTTTACGATATGTCTGTGTGACTATGGTGCTCAGGATTAGGGAACAGTTGCTACTTTCAGACTTCGCGACGTGCCTACAACTACTACAAAGGTACCCCTCGTGCAGCATGGACGAACTACTGGAGTCCAGCCGGGCTCTTTGGATCTACGAATCACAGATCACAATGGCCTGCGTCAAGGGCGGCCTGACGTTGCATCAGTCTTTGCAGGCAATCCCCCCTCCAGAAAAAACCATAATGGCCTTTGGGTTGCGGGGTGGTGTTGCCCTGACCAATCGAGAACAACTAGAACAAGCAAGTGCCAATGCGAAGGAAGCTGTGAAGAATAATGTGAACCGAGCGAGGCAAGGACTGAGTACGGCGAAACAAGGTCTTTTGGGAGGTGCTCGTAGGTTCCTCCAGAACCGAAGGATCAAACGAAGTAAATCATCAGGTGCCTCAGGTTCAGATGAAGGATTTGATAATGAACAAGACGAAGAAGAGCAGCAGCAATTCGAAGAAGGAGCATCGGATGGAGACACACCTGGGATGCCTCAGAGAGGCATGTTTAGGAACTTAAGCTTTGGTGGCCGTGCTGCGAGTGAGGGAACCGAACCAGTGTCGACTTCCAACGGCGAGAAAGCTCCTGCCATTCCTGCGTCGGTTTCGGATGATTTATTGTAGTTAGACGACAACCCTCTTGCTAGCTAGCTAGCTAGTCTTGTTGGGTAAATATAAGCGCAGTAGTCTAGCTTTTCTGCCATGATGGAAGTTTTGTGCTTGAGGTGAGTGATGCGTTGCAGAATTAGTTGAGCATCTATCTGACCAATCCGAGGTCATGGTGCACCCTCGTAATAACTCAAGGAGGTTGCGACGAAAGACAACGGGCCTCGCACCTCCTTCGCGCCGATATTTGCCTCCAACGTCGAAGAATCGTGACTGGCGATAAGTAGGAGTGATACGCCGGGTGGCTGGTGCTGCCAACAAAATCGGTTGTCTGGGATGGACCAACAGAGGCTTGACTGTGCGCCCAATGGTACGATGAGCTTTTATCACCCTAGCTACGGTAGAGTAGCTAGTGGAGACTTGTAATTGTACATGTAGATGCGACAGTGAGTGACCATGTAATGATGATTTATTACTGTAGTTTATGGGCTTTATTATTGGAGTACATGTAGTATTTTTGACTGTTTATTGTTGCAAGACAAGGTGGAGATGTATACATGGCAGAGGTCCCAAAAGAATACACAAATAGGCCCACCACAACAAGAGTGGTAGACTACTGTATTAGAAGCATGGAAGATTTACATCGCGTGGCTTGGCGAACAGAAACGACTCGACTGGAGAGCTCAAGCCATTTCTGTGGTAGGGCAGTTCCGGCTGGGATGATGAGGAAACGGCATGGGGTACATGGGGCCTCCGTACTCGTAGTGGTTGACCGGGTATTGTTGGTGGTAGTATCCCATGTTTTCTTGTTGCTGCATATGGCCATAGGGATAGTGTTGCTGTTGCTCGCAACAATAGTACACGGGTCGGCAAGGCACCGGAACATGAATGTGCAATCTACGGCGCTTGGCTTCGTGGTGTTCATAGTCCGGATTGCGGGCCGATCGGGCACGACGAATGGGGGAAGGACTGCAGCAACGAGCACGCTTGCGGCTGCTTCGACTGGGTTCCTCCTCCTCTGTCGCTTGATTCTCGCTCTCCTCTTCCTGCTGCTCCTGTTCCTTTTGCTTCTTCTTTTCTTCGTGAGCCTGCAAGGCAGCATAGTAGCGTTGGACATGAACGGGATGAATCAAGACGCCATTGCGCGAGTCTCGGTACATGTCTTGCTCTTCGGTGGCCTTGCGCCAATTGCACCGATCGTGAATGAACTCGGCAGTGTTTCGAACGGCGTTGGTTTTGATCTCCTTCATGCTTCCCCACAAGGTCTTCTTGGTGTTGGAGGAATACTCACGATGAGAAGGAATGGCCACCACGGCGACAATCGGTTGGAAGTGGATCTTCTTGTTCTGGGACACATCACTCTCATTGCTAGTAGCAGTAGTCGAAGTAGAGGCTCGAGTAGGTCGACTGCGTCTTAGCGGAACATGATAGAGAGTGGAGCGATCCAGACGACTGCCTTGGACTCTCGCAGTCACTTCTCGCTTTCGTTCTTCTCGTGGTGAACTGGGCTTCTTGCGGCTGTTGGGAGTAGGAGGCTGGAACATGTGCTTGAGCGAGCTCTGTTGCTGGAGTTGCTGCTGTTGGTGTCGTGACGGTGTGTGAGACCTGCGATCGGGGGAAATGGGAGAAAAGCCATGGTGATTCCCACGAGTGTTGGAGAGACAACGAAAGACCCTCTTTGGCTGTTGCTCTGGGCCCTGTTGTTGCTGCTTGCTAGTAGAAGGAGAGCTTCCAGAGAGGCGTCGAGGTTGGATGGCAGCAAGTCCATCGCGTGGAGAAGTCGACTTCTGAGGGGTGACAACGGAGGCAGGAGCCATGAATTTACTGCCGCTGCTACTCGTCATTTTCATTTGATATTATGGTGATTCGTTGAAGAAATTTGTTGACTGTTTGTTGTCCTTTCTCGACAAAAGAATGGTCGTACTTTCAACTCACTTGCTGTTGGGTTGCTCGTGCCTTGGATGCTGAGGCAGTTGTTGTTGTCGTTTCGGTGGTTGGCCTTTTTGAGTTAGGTTTGTGAGCGGTTCTCGGTTTGAACAATTTTGGCTTCTTTCTCAGTGCGGCGCGCTGGCTGAAAGTCGGCTTATCCCATAACAGACCAAGCCGCCAGAAATACTCAGAGAGCAGAGGGCCAACGGCTAAATCGTTCGTGCTACGACTCCTTGGCGAGCTCAATTCAAAATCCTTCCTCGGCTAACCAGTAACCGAATTTGCACCTCTTCAAACGTTGGCATGTTTGAAAGAGTATCGCCCGTTCCACTTTGAACACTTTGGTACTTATGCTAAGCAGTCATAGTGGGAGGCAACGGGCATTTTCAAATAGTTATGAGGGCACCGGAGTCTTTCAGCTTCCGAGAAAGTGCATGCATGGCAGCTGAAAGCGATTTCGGCCTTCGCTACGGTACCGTACGCTACAGCTCTACCGTACTAGTCGTACATAGATGCTACTGTATGGTACCACATGGCAGCTAACATGGCGCTATTTCAACAGCTAATTCTCCTATGCCATACTGTACCTGGTACCTGGTACCATGTCTAGTTCCAAGACCGGCACGCAAAGCTGAATGTTGCCGCGATGACAATAATGGGGCAACTTGCAACCAGCTACAAGTAACACGGACCACTGGAGCTACACGTATGTACAATTCAAAAATTATTTGATACCGGCAGCAACTGATACCAACAGTTTCACGCTTCACACCGGTACATAGATCCTGGCTGGGCAGCAACAAGTACAGTGTAGCAACTATTTCTAGCTGCCAGGTAGATGCTTTGATGCTTCGCTGCCTTCTGTCAATTAGCCCAAAGGCTGCCTCCCAATAACGGTACTGGCTAGCTAGCTAGTACTCGATACTCTGGCCAGCGGCTCTAGCTAGTAGCCACCTAGCGAGCACCATCTCTAGCTAGTTTCAACTTGAGTGGGTGCTCAGGTTGCCGCGCTGCTTTTGTTGGGGTTTCTTTGGCTTTGCTTCGCCCATCGTCCGATGACCGTTAGTCAAGACCCAGTGCACGAAACGGTGCCCTGGCTTCCACACAATTTCCAATCAACCGGTAACTAAACCCGAATCGATCATCGCAAACTGAGTCTCGCTGGAAGAGGTGGGCCTTGAGCGAGCCCTTTCTTTCGTGGCTTGCTTCGTATCTAATGGTGCCATCATTCCCGGTATTCACATTGGCATGCCAAAGTGTTGTTGCTTGTGGTGGGAGCATAAGTTGCTTTGAAATAAAGCTCGGAGGAACCGTTCGGATGGTATCAACGATTTGCGTACCTCTTTCGTCCTCTGCGCTGTTGCGTTGTGGGTCGTCGCCAATGCATTTTCCATTCTCTCACAACTTTGTTTGTTCTTCTGTGTTCAAAACTAGCAGACTACAGACTACCAGTTGTACTACATGTACATGGCTATGACATCTAGCTAGCTAGCTAGACTAGACTACTCGTACTCTACAATGTTGATCCACAGTCGTACTAGCTAGCTTGCCATCGATGTGAATGAATCGAATTCAATCGAATCAATCATCGATTCGATTCATTTCGATCCAAGATTCTGCAACGGCAACCGTAGCGGGACTGACGTCAGCTAAGGCAGCGCAACAAAAGCTGTTTCTTCTCTTTTTTTCTTTTTTTTCTCCTCTTTTTTCCAATTCCATTTCTCAGAAGCAGAAACCCCGCCCTTCCTGCATGGCCTTGCGGTACAGGTCGACAATGCTGCGCCGTTTGTAATATTTCATCGTTGCAACACTACTCTTCATGTTCAGCACTGTTTCTAGAACCTTTGTGTCGAAGAGTGCCTTTTCGCTTCGTGCTGCAGGTGCTGTTTCAGTTCGTTTCTTTCATATGTCGGCGGTCAAGGAAAGGAAAGCAGGAGTTGCATCACCCGAAGAGCTCAAGGCGTTCGTGACTCAAGCCGGAGATAAACTTTTGGTGGTAGATGTCCGTAACCCCGATGCATCGATAGAACCTGGTGACAAGAAGAGTTTGGATGTGGCTCCTCTGCCATCGCCTCCAGATATACGCCCGAATGGGGTGCACTTGATTTATGATCGAGGAACCAAATCCATGCTGCTACCCGATGTGGCCAAGGATACCCCCATTATCACTCACTGTGGTGGCGGAGGACGAGGTCAGAAAGCGAAGGAATTCTTGATGGAAAATGGATTTACCAACGTTATGAACGGGGGAGGTCCCAAAGAAACTGACTGTTGGGCAGAATTTGGAGAAAAGTAGAGAGAGGAGCTAGCAGTCGACAATTCGTATCCTTGGACGGCCCGGTTGTGACCAGCAGCTCCATCCCACATTGCCCACTGAAGAAAAGACGTCCTTGGATGGACTGGAAGGAAAAAAAGAGTGACAGTCGCATTGTACTTTCAGTAAATTGCAACAACAACGATTGCAGGATGGTATCACATCCATACTGGTATCTAAAGAGGCAAGAAGAATGACTATAAATAATAAATGAAATTAGTAACAGTGTTGCCTATCATACCTACTAATGTGTACAATCAACTCGTGTATCAGATTCTTACCTTCACTTTCGTTTCATTTCAGAAAGGTGTATGCATCCTTTGGTTGCTGCAAGTATGCATTGTGGTGGTCACATTTATCTGTATATTCCCTCGCTTTGTGGCTGTGTGCTGCTTTTTGTCCTAAACAGTCTTCGTGTGTTCCAGTTGTTGGAAGGCCCAGACGATGTAAAAGGGCGTGCAATTGAAGAGAAACAATCCCATCCACATGGATAGGTTACTGGGATGCAGCAGCAGGATGGAGGCTAGCGTGTAGGTCGAGACAGTGACTGGGTCCACGGATACCTGTTTGACTTTTTGCCTGGTGTACTCCATCTTCAAGGAGGAGCAGGTATGGACCATGAGGTTGAAGACCATGAAGCAGGAAATCCATTGGACATGGCGGAGTGGCTTATTGGTGGCCTGGTCTACGAACCATGTGGGTTTTAGGCACATGGCGGTGACCATGGCTTGCATATATGCCGTGTCGATCAAGAGATGGTTCAGTGGAGAGATCCAAGCCTTCCACCTTATCGACTTATTGTGGGGTCCAAAATCGGAGACGGCGGTTTGCATGGTGTGCAAGACAACTATGGCCCAGCACCAAGTCTCCGCGTGACTATTAAACCCGAGCCACCGAAAGAGATGAGGCAGCACCACGGGCGTCGAGTACTCTATTATGTTCTGATTCCACTCGCCTCCCGAGGGCACATACAAGTACAGTCTCTCTGTGAGGCGCCTTCGGACCCGTCGTCCACTCTCCTCTTCGTCGCGAGAATCCTCATATTTATCATCACGGCCGTCCTCATCGCGGCCGTCCTCGTCCTCCTCACGGTCGCGTTTGTTAGATCTAGAGGGCTCAGGGGAGGATCGATCATCTTCACCCTCCACGCCCTCTCGTCGTTCTGCCTCCGCCGAACGCTCCTCTTCCTCTCGTCCCTCGGCGTTTTCACTTACACTTGGAATGGGAGGAGGTGTAGCCTCTTCTCCTAATTGCTCATCATAAGTACTCTCAGAGGCCATCGTATATCAGCTTGCTTTTTAAGAGAAATAACTTGACTTTACTACATGTAATTGTCACTTGATATCTTTACAAATTACTTGAGTACGCGTACTCCATACTTTTTTTATGGTTCACAATACTACTACTAGCATGATAGCAGTGCTAGTAGTACAGCTGCTACCTACCGGTAGTACCGTGGTTATCTTTGCCGCACCGTACGGTACGTATGCATATGCTGTTACGGTCGTACCATACGGTACCTACTACTAGCTAGTACCGTATGTATCGCATTTCTAGAAGACCACGTGCGTCAGTTTGCTGCAATACACGTAAGTACGAGTAGTCTAGATGACACTTTGTGGGGTTACGGGTCGTACCGGTACAGTCGTCTGGAAAAGATTATAGCAGGCTTCCGCACATTATTTAATGATTTCTTGCACCCAGAAACCAGCCGTGACATCCACAGAACAAGGCCTCCCGGGCTACCGTATTAACGTTATTAAATTTTTACGTCAAATTTTTAAAAGAAAGCCAAGCCACTCCGGAGCGCAAATGTGGACAGTCCTCATTTACTACATGTACTTAGTTTTAAGAAACCGGGCAACCTAACATCAACTAGCAGAGTGAAGATCAGTCAGCCTTTACACCTTGACATTAAGACCCATTGCAACATATACACCCTCACATTTAGAAATATTTGGTGCAAAAATGACCCCTTCATGTAAACACCCAATATGAAACTATCAACTACACTATCTCAACAAAGTAAGAAAATGTCATTCAAAACAACATTATTGCTGACAAATACCATTCAACAACTATGTCAATTGGTTGGATATTGACTGAGATCTGGTAACCAGAAGTTGGTTGCTTTTTGATCACAAAATCATCCTCCAGCCATGCTCTTAGGGACGTTAAGTAGTAAATTCAAATGTGTTTCCAAAGTGCGCATTTTTGCCGTGGAGTAGCAAGGTCAAGGGAAAGGATTTGTCACTCTCAGGCAACTTCCTAACCAGCAAAAATGACGTCCGTATGTACGCGAAATCGAAATAACTGCCGAATTCGGAAAGGTGACCTCCAAATCCACAGATACGGGGAACCACAGAAACTGTTTATAGTTAAAAAGTGGAGCTGCGGTTCGCAGGATTAATGGATTTGGATTTCGCGTAGGACCAATCAAAAGACGAGAGCCTGCCGAGTTCCCGATTTCATTATACCACACGATTCCTTAACTCTAATAAACCATCCTTAACTCTAATAAACCATCCTTAACTCTAATAAACCAGTTCGAATAACAAAGCATTCGCGCCTGTCGGTAGCTAGCTACCAACAGACCGATCTTGACAACCAAGAAGGTTAACAAGCAACCTACCTGGTAAGGGTAACCTTCTAGCTAGTACTTTTGTATGCTTGTTAGCCTTCTTGTTTATGGACGTGGGTCTGTTGATAGCTAGCTAGTTAGTTAGCTAGCTAGCTAGCTAGCTACTATAGCTAGCTAGCTAGCTAGCTGGCTGGCTATCGCTTCGTGGTACACCGGTATTAATAGTGCAATCCCAGCCCTGCTTACTTAAACCAATTCGGTTGGAGGGAGTATTGCTCGCCCTGCTTGTATGTGGCTTCGTGAACATGTACGGCATATCTCGTACTATTTGGAATCCAATTCAATCCAATTCAATCTAATCCAATGCAATCTAATCCAATTGAATCTTGCTTCCCGCTAAAAGCTTCATTTTATCCTTTTTCTGACATTCTGAGTCACACCTGTTGAGTACACTACAGGGCTATAGTGAGATTTGCCCATCCCCTAGGTGTTATGTGTAGGTTGGTACCATAAGTGCGGCTGTTTTGAAGAAGTAAGTGTCTTCTTGTCTACTATTAATAGAAGTAGAGCCTAATAACTAATAATTGTCTCCAAGGAACTTCCGTGCTGACAATCGGACAATCGGAGAAATACAGTGTATACCATCAACGAGGAAGGAAATATGATAAATAAATGATCAGGTCAAGACACCGCCCAAGAAATATTGAGCCACTATTTTCAACTTGGGCTTGGCCATGCTCTTTAGAAGGTCCGGAGAGCAAAATATTGTTGGTGTAGACTTGTGCAGTGCAAGTTGCTTAGCTATTGTGGTACACTTGTCTGTCTACTACACGACGTGGCTGGAAGTCCCCCGATTGGCGATCGTGGAAAGTCGCGAAAGTCGTTAAAGTCGCAAAAGTCGTTATAGTCGCGTGAAAAGTCGCGGCAAGTCGCGTGACTTTGTGAAAGTCGCGAGGGAAGTTGGTAGAGTCGTTAAAAGTCGCGTTATTAATCTAGTTAATTACTAGTAAAGTCGCGAAAAGTCGCGAAAGATGCGAAAGTCACGGTAAAAGTCGTTCTAAAGTCGCGCGACTTTTAAACTTTCTCAGGAAAGTCGTTATCTACCTTATCGGGGGACTGCCTGGAAGGCAGCCGATTTTAGCGATCGCTGAAAGCCGTTCCTATTCGCGGCGCGAATAGAACGAATGGCGCGACTTTACCGCGACTTAGTGCGACTTACTTTGTCTTTATTCCTGTAAATGCTAGGATTTACTATTCGCTCAGCGCGACTTACCGTGAATCGCGAACGACTTTCCAAGTCGCGCAGCGCGACTTACCGCGAATCGCGAACAACTTCACGCGACTTTCTGAAGTACTTATTTTTAGCGAATGGCCTAATCGGCTGCCTTCCTGGAGGGGCTCCGCTGACGTCACTATTGGCGAGGCTTCATTTGTTCCTATGGAAATTACAGCCCAAGACTCCCAACTTGACTCGTACAACTCGCGTCAGCTTGCATTTAACTCGCGTAGACTCGCACAGACTCGCACAAAAACGCGACTTTAACTGTAATCGAAAGCAAGAGACTCGCAAGCACTCGCATAGACTCGCAATTAGACTCGCACAGACTCGCATGCGAGTCAAACGAACACGAGTGGTGCGAGTCTCGCCGAAAGGTTCAACAAGAAAGTTCCGAATCAGCATGACGTCAGCGGAGCCCCTCCTGATACGATGCTGTACATGTAGGCCGAAAGCACACACAGGATGATCGTGTTGTCGGTTGTATGTATAAGCCTTTGGTTGAATAAGCACTTTACATCGGGATAGTGGCACGGGACAAGAACGAGAAAAAGACATGAAGGAAGGTGGGAAACTTCCTAGAATCTATCCTTATGAAGAGTTGATCATACAAGGTCAGGCAGAAGACTTGAAAGTTGCCATTCTGTAGGGAACTGGCTAAATGTCAATCTACACAGTTTGTTCCTGCGAGTTGCTGAAGGATTGGCTTTCTTCGTCGCTCAGCTTGGGGGTACCTTCCATCTTGGATGAAGATGCATCTTTGGTGGCAGTTGCGTCTCCGTTTGCTGCTGGACCTCTGAAATCGTGCTGGGTCTCCGAGTTTGACACGTCGACGCCATGATGCCTAGACGTCTTCGGATATCCCGCCCCGTATTTGGAGTAAGGGAAGCCTCTGCATCGGATATACAGCAAGGCGCTTTCCAACGCCACCATACAGGCAAATGCAAAAGTCAGCACGCACAATGCACGATAACTGTTTGACAGGGGTGAGAAGCCAGCCACTCGTCCAGCTACGTTGCCATCAGATAAGATACAAGAGACAAAATCTGTGCAAGATCTGTCGACGTTGTAGGATTCGTCGTGGAATATATTCAAGACTGCACCAGAGAAAGCCCAGAAGGTCATGCTGAGGTAGAAGAGGAAGTTGAGACCTTCGGGAAACTTGGTGCTGGGAACCAGCAGGCTGCTGAAGACGGCGTTGACGAGAAGTGTGGTTGTATACACCTTCATGACAAGGCCAAAGTTCCCGTGAAAAAGCACACAGAGGACTCTCCCAAACTGCAGTGCAAGCATCAGGTACACCCCCACAAAGAGGTACTGATTCAGCATGGTGTTGAAGGACCATCCAAGGATGGCATAGGCACTTATCGTGGCTAGTAGTGTTGAAAACAAAGGTCCGGGGAACGTAAACAGCGAGGTCGCCATCTGGAAGGATAGGGGCGACACTCGCTTATCGTCCAGCTCGAACTTGTGGGCAAGCCATAACTCATTGTATCCGTAGATCTTGTGGGTGAAGAGGAAAGTAGGCACCGCAATCATCAGTGTTGAAGCCAGAGCTGTCTGAATGTGATCGCCACCACGAATCGAGAGCACCCCAACCAACAAAGAAATCGCGAGAATGATAGTAACGCCTGCTGCAACTTCATAACCTCTTTGGCAATGAATACGTTGCGATAGAGGTATGACTTGCTGCAAAGTGTCGAAAACGGGCTCTGGGACAGAAAGGTTTTGCCACAGTTGACTTGAGGTGTCGTTTTCGTCCCCTGCCGATTCGCTGTCTGCGGCACCTGGTTGCGACAAGCTGAGACGGCGTGCACTCATTGAAAGGTTGTGCGAAATCTCGTCCTCTTCCTTATTCTCGTCGATTTCTTCCATATGCATCATGACCAAGTGACGGCGGCTGCCACCACCAGATGGCACGTTGCTAAACAGAGGGCTCGGTATTGGTGCCTCAAACGACCGCACAGGGTCGTCCATCGACAACATCAAGTTTCTACTTGAACCCTCGTCGATGGCTCTCCGTTGACTGACCACGTGGCTTTTGAGCAGATAGGAATCGATCAGATGGGCCGCCTTGTGAGGATTGGCAATGGGCTCGTCATGGACAATCTTCCCCGCATCCATCACGAGAATCATTTTGACGTGCGCGAGGATGTCCTCGCTTGGTTGATGGACCGTGATCAGGGCCGAACATTGTCGCAACTTTGCAAGGGATTCAAGAGCTGACATGACTTGCAGACTTGAAACGCTGTCGAGCCCACTGAGAGGTTCGTCTAGGAGAAGCAAAACTGGATCCTGAAGAAAGGTTACCGCGATAGACAAGATCCGACGTTGCCCTCCGCTAAGGTTCTTGATCCTGGTCTCGAAAAATGGATTTAGAAGTTTTCTGCTTCCCTCGTCACTTTCCCCTTTCTCCTGCTCTCCGCGACTAAACAGCTCTTTTGTAAAGTCATACAACTCCTGCAGTTTTGTCTCTTCGGCTCGGTACAGCCGAGATGTCAATAACATATATTCGTTGGCCGTGAGGTTTCCAAAGGCCACGACTGGGTCCTCTTGGCAGAGGTACGCCTTCGACATTGCGCCAAGCTGCGCTTCCCCACGCCTGTCCATGCTGATGCCCAGCCTTGGTTGGTGATTCTGCGAGAGGACCTTTAAAAGAGTGGACTTCCCTGACCCTGATCGCCCACACAAACATGTGATTGACCCGCTTTGTAGTTCAATATCGACTTTATCGAGGAGAGTCTTTGGATGTCTTCCTTTTGTCACCACATGGATCTTGTTAAGGCAGAGCAAATGACTGGGTCTTCCGTTGCCTGGATTGGTACTTACTGTTACGTCCAATCCCGAGGAACGATCATGCTCAGTGCGTTGGACTCTACCGGTACGCAACCTGATTGTATACGATATGATTGCGAGAAGTATCATGAAACCCAGCCATGACACTTGAAGTCCCACCGTGACTTCCTTGTGGGCACTGACCATTTCAATGAAAGCCTGACAGGATGGCTGCTGAAGATCGTGGTCTTCGCCAGGGAGACAATTTGGACCGACGCAGCTTTCAAATTGAAGGTTGATTACTTGACCGTCGACGAGAGGAGCAGGGGATGTTTCGGTGACAAACTCATCGACGATACGATGGATAGACTTGCCCTCAAAGCGAGCTTGATCCCATAACAAGATGGTCCTCCAAATTCTCAACACCACGTTGTGATCAAAGCTGCTGTACTCAGTCGCGTGGCCATATTCATTGCACACAGAAGCATACTCCTCAATTCCATAGTCAGCATACTGACAAGCTAACCAAAGGAACTCTCTAGCTGGCGCCAAGAAGGAGTGGGTCACACAGGATGCCATTACCCAGTGAAGCCGCTTGTGGTCAAAGGTAGTTGATATTTGTCTTTGGAGCGTCAAATCCTTGATTGCAGCTGCAGTTTCCTTTGCCCGTACCTTTACCCCTCCGGCTGTTTCTATGACGTGCCACAACAACTCACCGCCTTCGTCATTTTCATCCATCGAAGAAGAGTGCTCGTTCTCTTGGAGGAAGGTGGTTCCTCCAATGAGTGTGACTATGTCGTAAGCTGAGTCCAAAATGAGCAAGGTTTCTGCCGCTTTGGTGTCGTTGTTTTCTTGTGTGTTGTCTTCCAAGGCAAAGCTGGCCAGACCTTGTATATCATGTCGCATCATGCAGTGAGTTGACAGACAGCAAGGCAGCTCGGATACACTGTCATAGAGCTCCGAAAAGGGATGGGTTGGCGAACAGAGAGGGAACTCCTCTTGAATGTCGACATAATATGCCATCGCATCGTTGAAGTTCTTTCCAACATACTGGTGATCAGATATCACGGAAGGTGCGTCCAAGATGACTTTCAACCTTGCCGCTCCCACACTGTAGTGGTTCACTGTCTCCCGCACAACGGGTATTTGGTTCATCAGACCCACTGCTCCCGCACTTATGCCAAGAACAACCACATTGTCCAATGTGCGGTCGTTCCCAGACAGCCCACGAGCTTGGGAAACTTGATCTCTCCAGAATTCAAAGGCAGCGTGGAAATGCGCAGATCCCATGTGACGAAAGTCGCCAACTTGGCCCTTGTTGATGTCTCCGAGGAAATAGTCCTGGGAACAATATGGGATCATCCATTTGGTGTACGAGTGCATCGATGGATTGATGCTTGGGTCGCTTGATATGACCGTGTTTCCTTCAATGGTTTGGGGGTTTAACTTGGTTGTAAAGACAAACGGACGTTCGTTGTAATCTTACGGCAATCTTCGGGATTTGCACAAGATCCGCCTCCCATGAGCACCAAAATGTGGTTCTGGCTCATGCCAAGAGGGATCTTGGGATCCTCTTCCACGTAAACGCCAAAGTGGCTGCCATCGGCACAGGTGAGGGACGCATTATTAAAAGAATGAAACGTGAGCGTGGCTCAACCCTTAGCAAGAAACTTTGGCACGTTAGCAGCAGCAGCAGAAAGCGCTTCAATATCGTCCTAGTGGTCATTGGTATCGACCCGATGAAGCAGAGGTGAAGAGGAAAAGAGAAAAAGAGGATCTAAAGACGCGCAGGAGCGAAGATCCACAATGGTTGTTGAGTTTGTGTTATGAGAGAGCGAGAGGAAAGGAAATTTTCAAGAGATCACAAATAATCACAACCTATCCAAGAGAATTTAGGGCAGGAAGGTTGGCCTGAAGCCAGACCTGATCTATTCACGCACCGCTGGCCATCAGGAGTGCTTTACTGGCAATGCTTCAGCTGGCTCGAGTTTCCAGCCCATAGAAGGCTGGCATTGGTGGTAGACAAGCTCGAGCATAAAATAGAATTGAATCAGTTCACAATACCAGCCAGCTATTCCAATACCATTCCCAGTGAAATTATTACGAGCCGAGACCAGAAATAATGGCATCCAAGAAGAACAAGAAGGTCCGCCAGAAGCACCAACACCAACACCATCTCCCAAAGCGTCGGCACCGTCAAAATTCCCAGCATGAAAAGCACCAAGGAATGAAGTACCGCCTGTCATGCTCTGTGATCATGACAACCAGGCTGGGAATCGTACCAATGGTGTTTTGAACAAAGCAGTGGGAAAAGAGACAGCACCAAGGAATGAAGTACCGCCTGTCATGCTCCGTGATCATGACAACCAGGCCGGGAATCGTACCAATGGTGTTTCAAACAAAGTCGTGGGAAAAGAGACTGTAGTGTATGTGAATCAGTTCGAAACATTGGGAATTTTTGAGGCGAAAGCCAAATGCACTCCAACTGACCTGGAATGTCTCTTACACGACACCCTGTCCTCACATCCAGCAATAGCACCATTCACCAGCGGCGTTTGAGCGGCCAACAATCAATCAGCAACAGCAACAGCAACAACAACCAACTGGATATCGGCCATGACAGCGCGATGACCAAAAACAGTGCTGTTCATCTGAGCGACCACCGAAATACTAGCAATAGTAACAACAACAAACCCTCACGGTGTTTGAGCGATACTGTACTAGCAAATAATCAACTGCCGATCAATTCAACCAGCTTGGCAACCAATACCATAATGAATTTGTGACAAGCAGCTAGGCAACGAACAATGCCACCGCATTGCTACCACTAGCGCTGTGAATGCTACTTGGCACTACCACTACTATTGCCACTGCTACCACAACTACCGCTACTACTACGGCCCAGCTTGGAGCTTTTGGCCCAGTTTGGCAGCTCCCAGCGTGAAGCTTCTGGCCCAGCTTGTTGGCAGCTCCCAGCTTGGAGCTTTTGGCCCAGTTTGACAGCTTCCAACTTGAAGCTTTTGGCCCAGTTTGGAGTTTTTGGCCCAGCTTGGCAGCACCCAGCTTCGAGCTTTTGGCCCCGCTTCGAGCTTTTGGCTGGGATTTACAACAAATCTGGGATTTCACTTACTGGTACCTACCACTCTTGTCGTCCAAGCGAGTATATCTCTCATATTTTTCATAGGAATTCAATGAGAGAGATTCAGTGTTGCAAAAGAGCCTTTGGTGTGTGTGGAAAACTATTGGCACAATTGGAATCGAATCTATGAGCAATCACTACCTCTGTGGCTCAGCCAGTGGGCAACCCCTACCATTGTGATTTTGGATTTTTTGGAGCTTTTGTCCCAGTTTGGCAGCTCCCAGCTTGAAGCTTTTGTCCCAGCTTGGGAACTTTTGTCACAGTTTGGCAGCTCCCACAGCTCCAGCTTTGACCTTTTGTCTGGGACTTCACGACTAGCTATCGTTACTGTCGGTATGTTACATTGTCAGCTAGCTAGAGCTACCGATAGCTAGCACTATCGTACTATCAGTTGCTAGCTAGGTGTACGTTACAAAACATAGATACACCTTCAATAATACCCTTGATAACACATGTAGGCAGGCTTACCTCTCTCCATACCAGCCGTTCGATCTATCGATTCTGATTCAACACCACGAGTACTCTTGTTGGTCAAGCTTAGTGCATTAGATTTATCTCCTGTTTATCATTGGTATTCAATGAGGGAGAGAAGGCATAACCAATAAAACACTTGATAGTAGCAGTAGCGATGGATCGATGGAGGCTGTTGATCGATGCCATTCTGCAATTGTGTTGCTATTGTGTTATTGGTACCGGTACTGGTCACTATAATTGTTGGTTGACCACAAGAGCTGAAAGCTGCGCGAGCCAGGGAAAGCAGCAAGCATGAAGGTTTGCATAAAATGTCTTAGCGTTTCTCCTGATGAGCATGTCGTTAAATCACCTAGTGCTGTTCATAGAGAGTATTAAGACTTTTTACTCCTCAAACCATCCCCAAAAGTGATGGTTTAAAGTGTGACAAGGATTTCTTTTCACTCAATACCTACTAATTACTAGTGCATGCTTTAACACACTGAAGTCGCTTCAACTTGACCTCATAATTGCAGAATCAGCTTTTGTACTCTTTGCCCCTATTCAAAAGAGCCAAAGTAAATTGCACGAGCCACCCCCAGACCCCCTTCTATGTTTAAATCGTGAGGAGACCTCACGAACAAGAAAGCAAGGCCCACAAGGTTCCAGGGGTCTTGTATTGTGTACTCTATTAAAACAGCTAGCTAGTATTAATACCAGTACTGTGTACATGTACAGTCGTACTGTCCCGTGGCTCTTGGGATCTTGGGCTCGCTCTACTAGCATTACAGTACTACTAGCTACTAGTAGCTACCCATAGTATGTAGGTACGGTACGATACGGTAGTGTACAGATTACTGGGTGACCCACAACGTGACCTGGACGATGGTAGTACGTACCAGCACCATCGTACCATCGTACGACTGTACCGTACGCTTCGCACGATTCGATTCAACCAGACAGACAGCTTCAACTGATGAGATGGGGTAAGATTAGGGCTGAAGTTCATTTTTTACTTCACATGTATAAAATCAAATACTCAATAGTTTGTTTTACATTATCTCCCTGGTTCCATATTGTCTGCAGATGGATCTAACAGGAATACTGGATCATAGCTTTCCTACTACCGTACTAGTAGTACATAAATCTTCTCCTTTTTTTATGAGAGGATGGTGATCGTCTCTCTTAAATCACTCGGATCGTCTACTTTCTTGGTGTATCGTCTTCTAAGTAAATTTCCACGAATGACGTTTCCACAGAGGTCCAGTGTCCAGTAAGCAGTAAGCAACCGCGGCTTGCCGCAAAACTTTGACTTCGCGAAGGCAAGTGGATCGAGGAAGTATCGAGGTCGACAGTCGAGCATGCAGTGAGGAGATGGGGAGAGTCGCGTCTTCATGCCTTGTAGCTAGTGCATAGACACATAGAAGCATACGCGGACGGTAGAAGAGCAGCAGTCATATACACGTTGCAAACCAGCCTTTAGATTGGAGACGAACTTCTCACACTCCTCTGGCGACTGGCGACACGTCTCTGGCTGAACTCTCATACCACCACTTGCAATCCAACCACTGCACTCCAACCGACTTCTGGGATGCTGTGTGATCGGGGGTGTATCGAGGCAAAACCGCACCTAGGTACCTCTGGGACAACTCTTTGTCATGCGGTACGGTATCTACCAGGTATTCCCATCCATGCACGACAGTCGACACATCTCGTGCTACCGTATTCGCAAAAAGAGTCCAGTCCGACCACGACAAAGCAAAACCATTTTCACGCAAACCGTTTCGTTCCCTCAAAAATCTCACGTCGTCACCATCGCTGAAACAAGAATGTACTGTACCAGGTACGGTAGCTGATAAACATGTACAACCCACAATCGTAATAATCATTCCGTGTCAGGCTGTGCCTTGTATCATACTCATATCTTTTGATTTGGGTTCATCCAGATCTTTCTATCGCGATGACAGAGACGAAGCATCACGTCAGCTTTCTCGTTGGGCATCGGTGCTTTCCTCAAGCTTCAGCTCGCGGGCACCGTTCCTGGTGTCTATACGTTGACGTCGTGCCCAAAGACATCAAATTGATCAACCAAGTTGAGTTTCACGAGCATGGATTGCTTCGTTCGTCGCCGCTAGCCATCTGCTGCACTCCTCGTCGATTCTCAGACCGACACAGTTCGGATTGGTTTTATAGATTCAAGACGGAACAGGAAACGCTTGGCGAGAAGTTTATGGTCGTCAGAATCGTAGCAAAGAATGGAACCACAGCCGAGGAACTTCACTACATATCATTTAGCAAGAATCAGGAGCAACCCTTATCATCAATGGCATTGAAATCGAAGAACCGAACGACAGGGCGACATACCATTGTCCCTGTCTCCAACCGCTTGACATTTGGGGTTGAGTTGGAATTAAGTGATGGCAACGGTGCAAGCCGAGGCGCCATTGCCAATGTCATTCAGAGACGTACGGCAACGGAAGTGGCGGTTGTTCGATCGTACGAAGAAGCGCATAAGCCTGTACCCACTTGGAAGTTGGTTCGTGATGGAAGCATTGCATGCAACCGAAATGCCCCTGCTTGCAGCAAGTTCGAGTTGGTATCTCCAATTCTCCTTGGAGAAGAAGGTCTTGAAGAATGCTACAACGTTCTGAAAGCGCTGAGTGCCTCGAAGTCGGTCAGCATCTCGGTCAACAAGAGCATGGGCTTCCACGTCCATGTCTCAGTGGCGGGATACAAGCTTCCAAAACTAAAAAAGATATGCCAGAACTTTGTCAAATACGAAGATGGGATCGATGCTCTGATGGCGCCAAGTCGTCGAACAAGAGGCTCGGCAAGCAATAGTTACTGTATGAGTTGCAAGGCGTCCATCAGGAACCCTTGCGGTACACTGGCACAGCTCAACGGGGGACGCCATCGCGCCATTGAATCCTGTACAACTGTGGAACAGTTGTGCGAGAAAATGAACCCCGAGGGAAGGTATTACAAACTCAACCTGCAGAATCTGGTGACAAAGCGCCAAGCGACCATTGAGTTTCGACAACATGCCGCAACATCCAACTCGATGAAGGTGATTGCGTGGGTTCGTTTTTGTGTTGCATTCGTCCGCAACTCAGCACGAGGAGAGATTCCAGTGTATCGTCGAAAAGACTTTGGTGCTGACGAACAGTTTGATGAGCTGTTTCAGGCGGTTATCAAAGACCCGGTTCTCGAAGAACATTTCCTCAGTCGTCGAGAAGAGCTTGGACGGAGGAAATCCGGCAGTCGCCGACCTGGCCAAATCGAATCATGCTGCAGCGGTTGCGCCCATGGCCACTCTTGTGCAGGTGCAGGACGAGGACACTAGCAAGTACCCAATGACTGGCGAAGCTAAACGATAAACGATGCGAGATTCGCAAAGGAAGCAAGTGGAATGACAAAGAAACAGAGAGAACAACATACATGTAATATGCATAATCGTAGACTGAAAGTTCCAGATTGGCAGGAGAGGCAAGGATGAATCGAGTGCATACAGAAGATTAAGCTACGGAAATAAATAAGTATGTTGAGTAATGTGTCGTACGCTCGTGTGATGAAGTATTCATCCTTGCTACTGGTTGGTTGCCAACTGTTGGCCTTCAGTCTGTGCCTGCGGTCAATGCATTGCGTATTGGATGAAAGCTCTGCAGCGCGAGAAGGACCGTGGAAACGTGGCCTATGCTACTACTACACTGTGTATGATTTCCCAGCGTTGGGGTGATCGTGGTTCCCTGGCCCCCTATCGCCAGCCTTTGCCCTTTCACTCATTCCCAACTCTCTTGCCCTTGCCCTCCGTTCCTCTCTCCCTTCAGTTGGCCCCGCTCCAACGTTGGCTCCCTGGCTCGCACTCCAGCCATTCTTCAAAGTCCTCAATTTCCCCTCCTATGCACTCCATAATCCCCCCTTACGGTAGTAGCCCGATGTTGTCCCCAGAAAGCACCCACGATTGAATGCGGCTGCCTCTGGCCATCTTCGGTCTATTGAACTCACTTGTGCAATCGTAATCGATCATGGGCGGAAACTATATTCCATTCCACAGAAGGATCGAAGTACTGATTCATTTGAAAGAGATAATGAAAGAAGAATGTGCTCGTGTGAAGGAGATAACTTTTAAAAAAATTGAATCAATCCACTACATTGTAGCTCACAGTTGCAGCTTTAGCTTTCTAAAGAAAGGAACTCAGTCAGCAAAGACTGTCTGGAGCGGTCAGAGCGGAACCACTTGGTGCGTCCGAGGCGGATTCGTGATTTCTGCCATCGACTGAACAATCTTCAATTCTCCAAAAGGGTTGCAGCCATCTTGGATGGCCTTGACGGAGTTTTGGAGGATGGCTTGCATCGAGGACAACGCGTTGGCACACGCCACTTGCAGGTCGTTGTTATGGAGATTGCCAATCAGCAATCCCATCATGCAGTCGCCGGTCCCTGTGAAGTGAAAAGGTTGTTCTTCAAAGGAGGCTTGGTGATAGTGGATTGTCAACGCCTGGTTCGCATCGTGGTTTGAGGAGGATACCAGCATTTCGGAACCAAACTCCGTGTCGACAGAGGTCAAAATAATGACAGAGAGCCCCGAATGGGCTTCGTGAAGGTGGCGCATGGCGTCGAGGGCCTCCTGGCGGGTCCGAATGGATGTTTGTGCCAAAAGCTCAAGCTCCAATTGATTGGGAGTGATCACGTTTGCGTACTGGAGAACGCAGTCTCTGTACAAGGGAACCAATTCCTTGGGACAATAATAGATGTCTTCTCCCGTGTGTTTGTTCTTGTCGCCGATCACCGTATCGCAAAACCACAAAATATTAGGATTTTCCGCCTTGAGCTTCTTGTACATTTCTATCATATACTGGAGAAACTCTTCATCAGAGACAAAGCCAGTGAAGAAGTAGTCGTATCGGTTTTGGAGCAAGTCGTTTTTCGACAATCCTTCAAACAGATTCTTGAGGGTTGCGTTGGCAAAGTCGGCTTTGGAGACATGATCATAACCAGAGTGATTCGAATGTTGCGTCGTGTATAGACAGTCTACGTCCAAACCTAGCACTTGCATTGGAAACGTACTGCTCTTGGCTCCCGCAAATCCAGAAACCACGGTCGAATTCAATTGCAGAACGCGATCGGATCTTGGCACAGTTGTGCTTGTAGGCTTGTAGGACGACGCGGTCATTGTTGTATATTCTACTCTATTGGCGCTGCTGTGTTTTTATGGTTCAGACTTCATCTCATCCCGCCTTGCCTCATCTTTGTGTTTGCGCTGGTTGGCTGCGGTTGCTTGTGGATGTTCTGACAGGAGATGTTTCACTGAAAATGTGAGAACTTTGCCTCCAAGGGATCCGACCGTTATCATGAGTTGAGAGGCTCGTGAGTCGACCTCACTCAAACCAAACCGCGAGGTTGGGATGTTGGGATCAGCAGCAAAAAAGCGTAGGACACGTTCACAAGCTAGCTAGCTTGCTGGCTAGAAAAAATGACGACCTAAGGTATGGTTGACCCATTTAGCCATAGGGATGCTTGTGGTTGGCCGAGATTCTCAGGGGGGGCTGTTCATAGCACCCCAAGAGGAAAGCAGAGCGCATGGGTAAAGGTACTTTCCCAGTTCGCCATGACATTGTCGTTTATAGCTTAGCTAGACCCATCCTTCCCCTTCTCTTCTTCTTTGCGGGGGGTATATGACTACTACAAATTTCGTAGAAGTCTTCATCCTGTGTGTGAAGAGTTCACATCGAATTAGCTGTTGAGAGGGGAACGGATCTCGTGGCAGGAGGAAAGTTTGCTACGGGCAGCGGCCGGGCACCAGAAGCCGTCTAAGCACACAGCTCGAGGAGATCTTCCTCTGTAGCTCTTATGGTACATGTACCACTGGTATGACATATCAAGCAAGCAAGCAATGTACATGTAGATAGAGTTACAGGTTGCAAGGTGGACCCCCCTCGCGTAGACATAAAGGTGTAGCATGCTGACTACTGCCAATAGACTGGTTCGCTTTCTTCTTGTCAGCCCAACCAGGCTTGTTGCGTCAAGTCTCTTACTATGAATAACCGCTCCCCGCCAACGGTGCAGCTTTTGACTGATTTGTGCTTGTTTGCTGCTGCTACGCCCAAATATTCCTCATTCCTTGCTTTTTCAGATCTTGGTTCAGGATCATTTCCAGCATTTGCAGGTGATCCTTGAGTTCCTCCAAGTTGCTAGTGTCAATATTTTTGTCCATGATCATTTTGAGCGTGTTGAGCTTGTTCTCCAACTTGTGAAAGCCTTTGCTATTCTGATCTTGCTGACCTTGTTTGGAGACTTGCTGTTTGAGTTCAAAGATTTCATCCTTGAGTTCTTTGTTCATTTTCTGAGACCCCTTGATCTTTTTGACCTCTTTTGCCAGTTGTCCCTTTTCGGATTTGAGCTTTTCGATTTCTTCTGCTTGCTTTTGGATCAACTCATCTTTTTGGGCACAGGCTGCACAGTTGCCATTGGAATCAGCAGGAGCATTGGAATCGACGTTGTTGTTGACTGCTGCTGCTGGTTTCCATGATGGCCGTTTGTTGGTGGGCGTCGTCGGTGATTTGAGCGGAGGCTCTTCCTTTGGGACTGGTTTCCACGAGGCCCTTTTGGTGGTAGGTGTTGTTGGTGATTTAGCAGGAGTCGCTTCTTCTTTTTGGACGCCTGGGATTGTCACCTTCTTTTTGGCAGCTTTGACGGGGGATCCCAGTTTGGCTTGAAATGCTCCCTTGTTTGTGGTGGTGTCTTCCTCTTCTTTCTTTTGGGGTGGCTTTTGCCAACGAGGTTTGGCACCACCAGGAGGAGGAGTAACAGATCGAGGAGCTGTTGTGGGAATTCTAACTTTTCCTGGTTTCTTAGCCTTTGGTGGTGGTTGCTCAGTCGCTTCCGACTTCTTTTCCTCTTCGGCTGCTGCTGGAGCTGATTTTGGGGCTGGCTTTGGTTTCTCGCTTTCTTTGGGAGTGGATTCTGTCTTGGTCTCTTCTTCCTCTTCTTTTTCTTCCTTAATAGTTGGCTTGAACGGCTTTCTTGCCTTTCTGGCTGCTGCGCCAGTCGTCGTCGTCGTCGAGGCAGTGGTTCCATCATGTGTCGCTGCCTTGGTCGGGAGCTTTTTGCCAGGTGGACTCCATTTTTTGGTGGATTTCGGAACGGGAGGTGGTTCTTCCTTTTGAGCGGGAGCACCTGCCATCCAACTAGTACGAAGCTTTCGCTTGGGCCCTGTGGGTACCGTGGGATCACATCCACCCATGAAGAAATCGGGCTTCTCGGCAGCCTTCCCACTCTTGTAGGTCTTCTTCACCACTTCTCGTCCGGTATCTTCAAATCCTCCCACCAAACTCTCCTGAGGTCGGGCTCTGTTTGCTTGGCGGTCTTCAATGGCTGCTTTCGACATGGTTTTGCTCGTCTACTTTCCTGTAAAGCTACTGTACAAGTGTGTGTTTGTTGTTGTGTTCTGAGTTTGGATGTTTGTGATTTGTGATTGTGTGGTGGTTCTGAACAGCTTTCTGAACTCGGCTCTGTGACCACTTTTACTGTTTGATGGCCCTGCATGGCTTCTCATCCTTCGGGGAAGCTTGCCTGCTTTGACATTTATTTGACGCGAACGCCTTTTCAAGGGTCATTCGGAAGGGGTTACTGGCACCACGATGACATCAAATGACCTTCCCTTTGGTACAGCCTACCTACGGCTTGTTTTGTCGGTGCTGCTGGCTTCTTGTTTGGTGGCTCGGGTCCAGCGTACCAGTACCAGGCACAGCACCGTACAGTTTACCAGTGCCGTACTAGCCACAGTAGCTCCAGAGTACCATTCTGCTTCCGGACCTCGGAAATCCGCTTCTGGACCTCAGAATCGAATCCGTAGTCCCTAACATTCCCTTTTAATTAAAATTAATAATTATTAAATCTTCAACATTCCCTTAGCAAGAACCAAAGGATTTGAGTCAGTCGTGTCAGTTTCCAAAGGCTGAGAAGGGAAAACCGTCGGACGGTCCAGGTCTCAGCTGGAGTCCCTTTGACTTGCTTTCTAGGATCAAATCTGGCAGGGTTGGACGTGGGCCCACATATGCATGCAGCAGTGATAATCCTCACTCCGACTGCCTGTTTCCTGTTGGTTTGTTGCTCCCGAGCGCAAGGCAAACTTGCAACTTCATCGTCAAGAATGCTTGTTCCTGAGAGCAAGCTCGTCTTCCTTCAGGCAAGCGTTACAAGGAAATTTAGGGAAAATCTTCCCCATGATAACGCCTGTTCCAATTTGCCGTTTAGGGAGCGGAAGACTGGTTGGAAGAGAGGAGAAAAGTGAGCCACCTCACAAAATCAATGGTTCGTTTGCTTGCTGTTGCATTGAAGCTTTAAAAACAAAAGGAAACCAAACCAATTGCTTTGACTTGATAACTTTCTTTTACTTTCCCTCTCGACCACCAAGATGACGTCTCTAGCGGATGTCCACGCTTCCCCGTCCTCGAGCCCCCAAAAGCTCATCCGTCGCGACGAAGCTGAGATTCGAGCTAGGCTGCTTCGTACACTCGGAATCTTTTTCCAGGTCGAAGACGTGTCCTCTGAGGTCGTGTCAACCAAGAGCACTGGAAGATCTAGTTGCTTCAAACACAAAGACGAAGAAGAAAAGAAGATGGACCACAACGATTACTACGATTATTACCCTGTGTCACCGTCGTCAGGACAAGACATGCGCGTCATTTCTACAAGTGTGCTCCATCTGGAACCAATGCCGTCGCTATTGGATTTTTCGACAATGCACCAGGAGCTATTACTCATTTCTTCAAAGCGTTCCAGGAGGAAGAAGAAGATCCAGTTTCTCCCTTATGTGACGGTTGTCGACATCCCGTCACATCGAGACTATCCTCAGAATGTCCAAGAACAGCTTTGGACGAGTCTGGACGAAATTCAAGCCAATGGTTGGCGCAACTCCTTGGAGTTTGAAGCGGATAATCGTGATTGGCGAAAGGCAACGGAGGAAGACGTCTTTATTGGTGTCAACGGAGAGCTTGTCCACCCAGAGACGTACCGACAACACTGTCGTAGTCACCGACGGCAGCGAGGGCCTGGAGCCAACAAGAAAAAGAACAGGAAAAAGAAGAAGAAGGGCAACATCCCAAAGAAGCATCTGGGGAGGATCAACGCTTTGAGGGCTAGGTTGCGTGGATCCAAAAACGGACACTCCTTGACCCGCTTTGCGGATAGTTAGAAAGCGCAGACAGGACGTGTTGGAGGACAGCAATATTGACAGTTTTGTGACGAGTGCACACTTAGAATAGATCATTCCATATGCATATATAGAAAACCTTTAAGGTTTCGTCAATATCTAGCTGCGGTACAAGTACTAGTACCAGTAGGGCATACCGTAGAATAGGCACTGTGCCACCGGAATTGGTACTAGTACCACCGCAAAGTGAAGCGCATTGCTTCAGGACACATTGAAACGACAGTACGTCGTAAGCCTTAACCTTGACAAGTGTAAAAGGGTTGAGGATATTTTGGAGTCATTGTTGACATAGATGACCAGGATCAATTTGGTATTTAGAAGTGCGACGCTAATTGGCTTTTCAGAAGAGGCATGGAAGGCTCATTAAGCCCGACGAATTGCGTCGTCATCAGGCTGAGCTGTCGCGATCGTACCTCCACCTGGTGCTGTAGCCACCACCAATCGTTCGTTCGATCGTGTGGGAAAGCACAAGCAAACACACCAAGCAACAACAGCAAACAAATAATGAGGCCAAGGACGAGTGGGAGCTAAAGCAGCAACAGTCGTGGACAGGTCGATTCAGATTCGTGACGCTGTAACTCTAGAAGTAAGGTTAGTACAGTTGGAGGATAGCCATGGCAACAATGGGACGCCGAAGCAGGTTACTCGAAGACGACGAGTCCATACCTCGATCGGACTCTACGTCCGACTCGGAATCGTGCGTTAGCGATGACGAGGACATGGACATGGATCGGAGCAAGGCGAGGAAACACGCGGGGCTTATTGATGCCTCCACACGGTTTGAAGAAACCTTGAAGTACAACAAGAAGGAAGCGCGGGAGGGAGAAGCTGCCATGCAAGCCGAAGACCGGCATCCGTGTGTGCAGTTTGAACATACTGTTACAGGCATAGAGATTAGGCACCACAGAGACTATCCTGCCTGTGACCGAAAGCTCATGTGGAACAGCTTTGCAGAAATCCAAGCCAACGCAGACAGAAATATCAACGAGTTTCGTCATGATGGCTGGCAGTGGCGTAACGCTACCGAAGAGTCCGAGATGGTCGTCCAAAGCGTGGGAGAGCTAGTGCATCCTGCTAGCTACAAGAGTCGAAAAGCCGCTCCCAAGAGGAAGGGTCGCAAAAAGACACGGGTTCACCGTCGCAAGGGGCGCCAATACTCGCGTGGTTGAGGCATCTTTCTTTAGAGATCCCTTGTACTGTACATACTACTACTTCTTTTTCCCGGCTGCAAGGTGCTATCTTGTGGACTATTCCTGGAAACAAGCTGATAACTGTCGGCTAGATCTCACCGCCTCTGGTATCGCTGTATCGATGTCAAACGCTATCGAATGTATGCAAATAAACTATAAAAATACCAATAAAAATGTAACTTCTATGAGGCTACATAGTCGGCTCGATGCTGGTCTTTCGACGGTGTAGCACTACCGGTACGTGTACAAGACCAGGAGAGCGCATCTATGTGGGCTGTGTAGGTGTTTTCGTCGGCATGCCGATACTCTCTCTCGGCTTGGCAGCTTGTGGAGAGGTCACCTCATTTTCCCACGCTTATTCCCACTTCTTTGATGATGGGGGCAAGCTCAATTCAAAAAGGTGTTTGTGATAGGTAACCACTGCACATACAAAGCTAGGTTCAGAGACATAACTCCAACCACGGCGTTGTGCCATTTCACGCAGAACAGGAGACAGGTAGTGATAAAGCAGGGGAGAGGGTACACATGGGGCCACATGGTGCTCAATTTGATAGTTGATGCCACCAAACAAGAGGCAACTGAGATACCCACCCCAACTCATGGATTCATTCATTTGCAACTGCATAAAGGCATCAATGTTCTTTGGACGACCCAGAGAGTCAACAAGGGGTCTCTTTGTCGTATCACAAAATGATGCCAGATCACTGTGATTGTGGGAGACTTGAAAGAGATATGAAATGAGAAATCCAACAACCATCAAAATTGTAAGGATTGTTTTGAGTGCATCCAAGCCATTGAAATAGATTGGCAGAATCAACATAGTCAGCCAGTAAATCGTAAAGTACACTGGATGTCCTCCATGTTTCAGTATATTGTCAAAGGGAAAGGAAATGCCATTGAGAGATAGTAGAAGTGGAATATAGAGTGGTTGGAAACGGTGAATTGGGCTGTGAGGGAGATCCGGATGCAGTCTAAATCCTACTCCAACAGTCGAATAAATGTCATGGTCACTGGCTGGATCATTGGTGAGCAAATGATGGCTTTCATTGTGATTTTTTCTCCAATTTTCTGGTCGTATAGCATAGGTGCGATCCATAAAGTCATAGATTGGCTCCGTCAGTTGATCCAACCAGCCAATTCCATAGACTTTGCCACCCCGGTGATTGCGCATGTGAAAGATGTTGAAGGCATATGACACAACGACAAGTCCCCATGTAACTGCCCATACAGGACTGCCTGTCATGATGAAGGCAATGTTGACAGTAGGAAAAAGGACGGTCAAGAAGAGACACCAAGCCCGATAGATCATCACTTGTTCTGGGTGTTCTTGAATAATGTGGCGAAGAGCAGCATAGATTTCATTGTAGGCTGGTCCTCGCTGAGGGAGAGTGATCCCTCTGCTTTTGGCTGCCTGGGTGATATGTCCATCAAGGTCCAATCCAATGTGGGCTGTCAAAAAGAGAAAGTCTTTGTGTGAGTGATCACGAGCCCCATTCAAGGTGTCCTGGCCACCTGGGTGGTTTGGAAAATCCACAGGGACCGAGAACTGTTGGCCATTGGCATTCCCATTATTCTCCCCGTTGCATTCCTTGCTGCTGTTCATGTTTGTTGATTTGTTGCTTGCTTGTTTTGTGGGTTGAAGTATTTGTCAGAACGAATCTTTGTGTTCTCCTCTTTGTCGCGAGTGATAAAGTTTCTGTGGAGCTTTTGGTGAGACTTTGTGGGAAGCTGAAAGCTGCTGGTTGTAGCGTCTACAGTCGTACACGCAGCCAGGTGAGTTCTTGGTGTTTGTCCCTTGAGGCAACGATACCTTTTTGTGTGGCCAATGAACAGTCAACAGCTCATTCAACTGGGAATGCAGAATGCAGGCACGCGGTACCGGTACAGTACTGTGGGCGACCCGGAAATGGGACTAACCAGTGTAACTGTTTACCAAAAGTTTCCTAGCTAGCTAGTTTACGCACCGCTTTAGTTTACTCATGAGAGTAAACAGTTGAATACTTGTTACTTGTTTACTCATGAGCAAACAAGGTTTTTACTTTTTACTCATGAGGAAACAAGCATATTATATTGTTTCCTCATGAGTAAACAAGATTTTTACTGTTACCTCATGAGTAAACAACGATTTCGTGGGACAGTGTGTTTTTCCTAGTGAGATTTAACGGCTCGTGGGGAAACTATGACCTCATGCGTAAACAGCTTGTTTCCCCATGAGTCATGGGGAAACAACCATTTAATAGTTTACTCATGAGTTTACATGCTGTTTACCCATGACTCTTGGGGAAAGTAGCTGTTTGTTGGTAAACCTTTTAGACATTATGACTCTCCGGTAAATGGTTACATCATCCATTCGTGTCACTTTGCGGGTCGCCCTGGTTGCGAAAGCGTAGACTAGCGGTGGCTTCTCCAGGACTGACAAGTAACGCGCACGCGCTGACCGAAACAACTATTTAAAGGTTTTTCAAAACACATCTCAAACTATCCTTTGAAGTGCACTCGTTTAAATCCAACTTAAAGGGTGCACTTTAAGTGCGTGAGTCAATTTAAGTTCGTATCGCGCTTATTAATCCCAGGACTTATTTCATTTCTGCGTCACTATGTAATTTTAGTGAGGTGTCTGAAATTGTACATACTCAGACACTATAACACACTCCTTAAAAACGATAACTAGTCGTGGCAGTTTTTAAAGCCTGAGTGAAAACGGTCGGACGGTCCAGGTACCTGGTACCGGTACTAGTAGCACTGCTCGCACCCCTCCCAAACAGAGCCATCCAAGAAGCAACACTGCAGCTTTCCTCCCTGAATAAACTCACATGAACCCAGTCCTGTGGCCTGTCGGTATGGATAGGGTCTGGGCCGGACAGAGCGGTTCAAACTGTGCAGTAAGAATGTGTGGATAACGACGGCACAGTCGGAATCGAATCGAATCCAGCAGCTACTGGTAGAGGATAAATAAATGCACCCAACAACTGCTGCCATTGCCAACAGTGCCAGCCGCCATCTTTTATTGTGTCCATTCCAGTATTTTTGCCGAGCCAGGAATGAGGCAAAACTTTTAATTTACCATCAGCACCACGGCCTTTTCGCTGCAGCTCTCCTCTCTACCGTACTAGCTAGCTAGATCCCTTCATATTCTCTTTGTCGTACGGGTACGGTACCAACTGGTACCGTACCGTACGACCATGAGAAGCCGCGGCCGGGGTAGATTGTTGAGGACTTTCCGAGCGTCTGACCTAGCTTGGCGATTCCTAGCTAGCTATAGATAGACTAGGCAAAAATCCTAACCGGTACCAGTACTGTAGTTAGATTTGCCAAGAAGCGGCCATCCTGCTAAAAGGACTTTCCATTTCCGTCGCTTGATGCAACAGAATTGGATTCTATTCAGAACCCCCAAGAATAACCGAAGTAGACAAGGATTGTTTCTCATGGCCAGTAATAAAGAACGCATACTGAGGCACACGCATCCAATTCACCATGCCTTTTGTCGAGTGAAAACCGGTGCTACAGTAACATTTTTAAACAAAGAAGTGGATTGGCCAATTCTTCTTCACTGTATCATGGTGCCTTCCTTTCCACTTGGATCACAACACAACCCAGCAGCGTTTCCCCACCCAACATTAGTTTTCATGATCACCGAATGAATGACCTTGAAGACAATCAACATGTACATTTACATGTATTAACAACACCACATGACATGACACGTAAAAACTGCACCCTTGACTGATTTGTTGATTGCTGGTGTTTTTGTTTGGTTTGGTTTGATCGAGTCTACTACGACTAGCTACTAGAGAATGACGCAGCAGCCACCTTCTTTTGGGATATTGGCTTGCTTATCCCCAATAGCCAGCAGCTCTACCACGAAAACCAGGTCAGCGTTGGGGGGAATGACACCACCGGCTCCCTCTGCCCCATAGCCGAAATCAGAGGAAATGTTCAGTTTTGCCTTTTCTCCCAAACTCATTTGAATCACACCTGTGTATTGTAGTAGTGGTGGTGGATAGTAGTGTGGTTGGTTGGTTGGTTGGTTTGGCGCCCGCCAACAAAGAACAAAAGCAAAAACAATTGTTCTGTGAGGATACCCCAAAATCGGAACATGCTGTACGGACAGCCCTCTGAGCTCTGTGGGATCTGGCCCCATACAGACAAACCATACCTTCATCCCATCCCTGAATGACCTCTCCCTTTCCAATCTTAAAGGAGAAAGGGGTGCCTCTGTCATAACTGGAATCGAATTGGGTTCCGTTGGATGCCAAGGTGCCTCTGTGGATGGATGGAGAAAAAGGTCAACAAGATCCGCAAATGAGCTCTTCCCATCAATCCTTGACCAGGAAATCCTCCTTGTCACAATGCAGATTCATTATGATTATCATGCCAAGCACCATCTTACTTGTAATGCATCTGGAGCTTGTTGCCCTTCTTTGGAAAGTTCTCTCCATCGCCCTCACGAATCGTTTCCTGTAAAAGTAAGGGAGGGACAGGAAAGCGAGATTAGTTGAGTCTGACTAGCTATCTGGCCCTGATAGTCCTATCGTATGGCCTCCAATGCGGCTTCACCACACGTACCTTTGTAACACCCATGGTTCAAGCTTAGCTCTAGCTAGTACGGTGAGTTGACTTGTTGGAGCGAGGTGTCAATACAGACCTCGACGACAACAAGGTCTCGAAATGTGCTTGATCGAATGATTCATCGATCTTTTCCCCCCTTCCTTGTGACTTCGAAATGACTTCGCTTCGCTTTCAGCTCGAATAGTTCGCACACACGCCCTTTCGAGCACGAAGATGTTCCTGGAATATGTGAATGTTGTACATATGCCCCGGTTGACCCATCCTCGCATCCTCGCAGACAACCACGTTTCATGATGTCGCTGTTGCTTTGGTCACTACGGTACTAGTTAGCTAGATTAGTACCGCTACGGTTTTTTAAAGTTTTAGGAGTCGGCCTGAGCAGCTTTGCAAGGCAAATTTTACCTGGTGTGCCTGCATTCTTGGCACGGCAAAATAAGTTACCTGGTACACCTTAACCGTTGGTCCTTTTAATTAAGGCCACCAAGAGCTCACAAACTGGAACACACTTTGGAGTTCAGGTAGTCTCGGTAAATAATAGTTTTTATACAAACACATTTTACCTGTTGTGCCTGTATTCTTGGCACAGTAAAATTACCTAGTGGGCCAGCTGGCTCGCTGCCATGATTCGATTCGATTCATCTGTGGTGCAGAGCTGGTGCAGTGGTATTTGTAGAGGTGTTGACCAGCTTCCCCCTCCACAAAAACTTGAAAAGATTCGTGCTAACAATTTGTTGTTTCAACCCACAAAACAAGCAAGATGAATGCCAGCAAGGAACCCAACAAGGAGGAGAAAGGGATTGCCAATGGCCAAAAGGAGAAAGGGACTGCCAATGGCCAACAGTTCTCGGTCCCTGTTGATTTTCCAAACCACCCAGGTGGCCAGGACA